TTCTTCCCGTCTCTGCATTAGCAGCTGTTGACCTGAGAACGTACCTGAGCTGGACGGTTCTGATGGGTCCAAAGCTTCCAGCTCATCGACAGACGAAGCTGAAAATGAAAGAGATGAACGGATCTTAATGAGATATTTTTCTTTGAGGAAACATTTGAGGTTCTGTCAGAAGTTGAAGGACCTGCAGTGATTCTTCTGATCCAGTTTTAATCTCAGATTTTATTTGTTGGTATTTTTACTGAGCAAGTTTTTGTGACTATTTTAATAAAAGCACTTTGATGATTGAACCTCTGAGACGTTATTGGCTGGATGTTAGCAGACGTCCGTAGAAGCATGTCAGGTCCAGTTTCTCAGCCGTGGTTCTTTTAGCGTGTTTGGAGAGAAAGTGCTGAGATGAGGCGAGGAACCGGATCAAAGGATGGAGCAGTGTTAGCTCGGCTTAGAGGAAGTAACATTCAATTACCAGATTTAATCCAGCTGATAATTTCAATGTCTTATTGTTCAGTTTACCTCAGAACAAATGAGGAAGGGAAACCAAAGGAGTTTAAAAAATACAAAAAGAACAAAGATAAACTAAAGTTCCTAAAACTCCAAACAAACACAGCTGGTTTAAATAGCAGCAGGTCTCCTCTGATTGGTGGAACAATCCGTCCAGTATCCAATCCAGATGAGGAGAGGCCTGCAACAGGAAGTGACAGGAGGGCTGCAAGAACTGATCTCTATTTATACACTGGGTTGCTGATTGCCCCCAAAAAACTGAAGCTGCCGTCCGCCATCTTGGTACTCCCCTCTCCCACAGATACACTCAGTATAAATCCCTCCCTGTGCAGCATTTAGCTGCAGAAACCAGCAGTTTTCTGTCTGCAGGAAGACGTTCCACTGGTAATTTCCCAGTCAGTGGATGAACTAAGCAATAAATCCATCTATAGCCGATGGATCCTATAGTTTAGTCTGCAGACTAACATTAGTCTCAGACTGACTGGAAGACACTGACTGAGTTAGACGCTGACATTGGGTCTAAAGATAGAAAATAGAAAGTAGAGGAAATAGAAAGTAATTCACTGGGAAATGTTAATGTAGGAATTCTTTATTAAGATGATTCTGTTGTTTTTACAGTGTTTGGGTTTATTTCTCATTTGAAAAAGTCATGAGCTGAAATATATTGCAGGTTAAATTAACGGAAAAAAACCAACTCAAACATATGACCTACATATATAAATATCTTTTATTACATAATTTATAAACTACATAATGACTCTGCAATGTGACGGGTCTATTATTTTATTCTAAGTTAAAGTTAATCTACTGATGCTATAAACAGCCAGTCTGTATTTAAGTTATGAATTTATCTTTATTTTAAAAGTCTTAAATCCCTGAAAATGAACATCCTGGTTGTTCGATGCTGCAGCGCCAAGATTGTTTACGTTGCGACCAGTCTAACTAGGGAGTACCAATATGACTGCCGGTGGCTTCACTCCACTCTGTGCTACCAACGTGCAATCAGCAATCCAGGGAATAAACAGATCAGTGGCTCCATGTTCCAGAGCGCCCCCAGCTGACAGGAAGCTGCATCTGGAAACATAAAAACAGAGTTTGGTCAGAAGCAGACGATGGACGTTCAAACCTCCAGAGCTCCACCAGGACGCTGCAGTGGAGAAACTTCTGCTGTCTCTGGGATGGTTTCTGGGTTGGTGACCTGGTTGGACAGTGAAGCCCAGATCAACACTCCCCCACCTCCGTACCTGGTAGATGGTAGGAGCTGATGCTGACAAGATGTTTGGTTTTGTTAAACTTTGTTCAAATCTGCAGCTAAAGCTGGAGTCCAGCGGGTCTCCATGATCCGCTCTGTCTGAACAGAGCAGGCAAGGAGGAAGGAGGGAGGAAGAGGAAGCAGGAAACTTCCTGTAATGGTTCCTTAAGCAGAGGAAGCCCCTGATGTTCCTCTCTGTGGCTCAGGCTGATGTTCTCCAGATGTTTGGCTTTCAGAACAGAATGTAGTTCTGAGATTAGCTCCATCTGGAGAACCTTGGGGTTTGTAGTTCTCTTCCTGGAGGCTGTAGTCCAAATGTGACCAGCATCATCCATGTGTTTCCATCCCATAATGAAACCCAGAGAGCAGAAGACATAGAGGTCTACTGTGGACCAATGAGAGGACTTTGACTAGGCCGTTCCAACCAACGATGCTTTGGTCTCTTTTTTCTGGAGTAAAAATATTTCAAGCTTCTTTTCAGAAAGCTAATTTATTACAGCTTTTAATTATGGAAACTTTGTGCCTTTAGAGATTACAGAACTGTAAAAAAAGGAAGGAACATCGGACATCTATGCTGTAAATAGATGTGTGTTGTGAAAATGGAGATGGAAGCGTCTAAAATGCAAAATGAAATTGGGGTGGGGGGCGTCATCAGAAGGTGGGGCCCTCCAGTAACGACCCCCTCCCCAAAAACCTACATGTGGCAGAGTGATGGAGCAGGCAGAGGGAGGAATACGGGGATGGGGAGCAAAGGACTGAGGTGCTTACTGCACTCCCAGGGAGCCAGCTCCCCCCGCTGGCTCCAATAGGCACCCCCGTTCCCCCCCGTTCCCCACCAGTCGCACCACCATAGTCTGGGGGCCAGGGCCCCGCCCGCACCATGTGGAACCCCCACCCTGGAAAAGGCCCCCAGCAGGGGACGGCATGGACCAGGACCGAGACAGGGAGCCAGACCCGAAGCCCTTCAGACATCCACATCTCAATCAGCTGGTTTTCCTCAGATAGAAAACTATGAATCAATCTGACTGGATGATCTGGATGATCTGGATCTATAAAGTGACTTGAGATGACATGATGTGAATTGGAGATGTAGAAATAAACTAAATAGAATTAAATATATTCATCATAATTTTATCGGGTCTGATGACATTAATAAAACATTTAATCAAATCAAATTATTTAGAAGCAGCTGATCTGGTTCTACTTCTAAAAACCAATGAATCAGGTCATTCTGGTTCTGACTGGTTCTGACTGGTTCTGACTTGGTCTCCGCTGTATCAGAACTTCATCAGAACAAGGACCCTTCTTCGTCCTCATTGAGGCCTAATCTGCTGTCATGTCATGTTGCGTTTAAGGTCATTTCTTCAGGATTTTAGTTTTTTAATCCAAACCTCTACTGCTCTTTTCTTCTCTCCATTTTTCATCACATCTCTCTTTCAAAATGGCGTCATTGCTGCTCATCATCATCGTCTCATATCAGAATCTGAGACGTTTTATAGCCCAGTGATGTTTTACACGGACGAGGAATTGGTTTTGGTGATGAGACATAAAAACAATCATCGATAAATACAGGAATCGGTTTATTTAGTCTCGTTAAACCAGGACCTGGTCACATAGATGTAATTTCCAGTGTGTTCTCATCTCTACTTCTTTAGCTCTATACTAGAAATGCAGACGAAACAGGAAATTGAAATTTGATTTTTTGATTTTTTTTAAAAACAGAAACCAATTGAATCATTTAATCTGTTCATTATTTTACATTTCCAGGGCTGCAAACTTTCCCCCAAACCTTGAGCTGAGATTTAGAAATAGATTATCAGAGTGAGATGAGGACAGGTGCAGCTCTAGGTTGGAGGTTTTCAGAGGATTTCACTGAATCAAAGTGGAAAAATATGAAATTTTTAGTAAATGTTACTGAATAACAATCAGTCATCCGTCGTTATGTGGAACATTTTTCTCACAATATCCGTTATTTTCTACATTCTGGTGATTTTAGAGAATTGAAGTAAAGCAGAATGGGCCCTACTAAAATACCTGCATCTTAAATATACTTTAAACTAAGAATTTAACAACTTTGTTTATTAAATATTCTCTGCAGTTTAAGTAAAATAAACAACGGGAACTAATAAGTTATAACAGGATTACTGGCACTGATACAGGAACCAGAGCAATGGAATCCCATTCAAACTACACTGAATATTTGGTAATAAGGATTAAAAATCTTAAGTTATTATTATATTAGTTTTTTGTAGAAATGGGAAAACAGCAAAACATTCAGACCCTTTAGGAGGCTGCAGGTTTGATAGAAACTTTCAGTTTGTTTCAGTTTGGAAGGTCTGATGGAAATTAAGTTTTCAAACATTTTCAATGGACCAAAATAAGGATAAATGAATAAGATAAGAAATAATAAACTGAGAACATCCCTGTGGTTTCTCCTGGATCATTCAGCTGTTCTGCTCATCCTCTCTGGGTGCGATTGATCTTTGCTTTGCTGATCTTTGAGAAATAAAATGCAATCATTCTTTTTCTTTTATGGAGCTTCTATGGGTTTCAGACCCAAACCTGGAAGCTTTAAGAGTTAAAATATCTGTGTTGGTTTAATTCCTCCTAAATTCCAGTGGGACATATTAAACTAGACTGAGTTTTAATGTCTGTCAATTTTAGTGTGAGAAATATGGAGTGAGTGTGAGGCATTGAGATGGGTGAGAGTTCACACCAGTGGTGCTGATCTTCTGGTGACTCTTCATTTACTTCTCCTGTTGCGTTTTTTTTGTTTTTTTTTCTTTTTGGAATAAATCATCTTGAGAAAAAAGTTACAAAGACATTAAAATTTTATAGATTAAAAGTAAAACGCCATAGTAAAAATAAAAGTTCAGATACCGTCAAAAGCTGCTTTAGTTCGGTCACGTGTTTAGTTAAGACTTCTGTAAAATAATCTATAATTGTGAGATTTCCGAGGAATATCAAACGCACCATGGAGAACACGCTGCGTTCAAAGTTAGATGGGAACTCGTAATTATAAAAATCTCAGAAATACGGACAATGTAACCTCATTGAGCTTGACGTCTAATATGTTGAAATGCAGAAAAGTTACGTCATTGTGTTAAAATATTATTTATTTATTTGTTGCTGACAGAAAACCGATAAAAACATTTCGATGGCCGCTTAATTCGCTCATTTTTGGTTGAATGATTCTGTTTCCGAGGCTCCTGAACGCACCACAAACTGTCATGTCTGCCGCGCGGCTGAAGGTTCCGCTGGTGAGTCCAGCTGCTTCCGTTTCTAAGCGAACGTTTGGTCGGAAAGTTTCAAGAAGAACCAGGTTGTTTCCACGTGAACGCTCTGATTTACAGGCTAGCAGCGTTAGCATCGGCTAGCAGGGTTAGCATCGGCTAGCAGGGTTAGCATAGGCTAGCTGTTTTGATGTTTTTCTGCTCCGACAAACCTGATCCAGGGGTGTGAAAACTTTTACTGCTAATGGCATGGGTAGAATTATCACAGATTACAGTAATTTATGAGGGATTACAGTAGTTTATGAGGGATTACATTAGTTTATTCCCATTCATCGGACACCCAGTGATCTCTGTCAACAGGTGGAGCCAACATTCATTCTAGAAATAGAATTCTAGAAATAGCTGCTGAGCTTCAGGTCCAAAGATAGAAAGCAGATCGCCTCCTGCTATCACGCTCCTTTAGAGGCTGTAAATCATCCAGATTTCCCCCAAATAGGAAATAATCCCCTAATTTTTAATCCCATTCAGTCGCTGTTACATTTCTGGAGAAAATAGTTGTTTTTATTTCCACCAGGTGATGAAGATGATGAGGATGATGAAGATGATGATGAGGAGGAGCTAACAGCCCAGTGGAGTGATGCCAGCTGTAATCCTAATCCCAGCATGCTGAGAATAATCTGAAGCTGTGATCTGCTGCTGTGTCCATGGATCAGATCACCTTCCAGCATGACACGGTGCTGTCAGACGTTCACATGCACCGACCCAACACACGTCACCTGATGACACGCCTCAGCGCCGTGGGACAGCCAGGTGTGTCTGCGCCTCCACCAATCAGAGACTCAGGAATCCAAAGAACAGCAGATTAGGAAATAATCTACAGATGTTTGATAAACTGATGTGGAGCTGAACTTCTGATGAAAGAATCCGTAGAAGGAGCTTCTCTGACAGATGCTGCACTTCCTGCTTAAAACTAGATCAAACTGGTTTAGGCCGTTGATCCTTTGATCAGTTACTTCCTCTACTTTAACAATAGAAGTTAGTCTGTTAGTTTTTAATGAGCAGAAGGAAATCCCTCCAAAGAGACTGAGCCTGAAGCATCAGCCAATGAGAGAAGCTGATCTGGGAGCTGGCAGGGAGTCAGACGCAGCACTGCTGATGCAGAGCGCTATGATCACTCCTCTGAAACAGTTTATTAACGCCTAAATTAACTTCAAATGTAGAAACCTGCCGGCAGAATATGTTGGCTTTTATTATCCTGCTGCCTGCAGTTTGTAGCACAGACCTGAAAAATGCTAACATCTACTTCCAGCCGCCACCAACAGGAGGGGAAAACCCTGGAGAGGCGAGCGGGCCTGAGGCAGCTGCTGCTGGGGATTCCCAGTGACAGCGCAGCGCCGGTATGTGGGGGTCTGAGCGGCTCCCACAGAGAAATAATCTTTGAAGGCAGGATGGTAATCTGGATGAACTGACTGCACAGACCATGTTTTCAGGAGGACTTTCTCACTTCAACATAGATTCTAACTACTTTCTACCCGCTGATCACAGCTAATATAGCCGCCATTGTTCCAGGCAGAGAAAGGATAGAGTAGCTCCGCCCACCGCGCATCAGAACCACTTTACCACCGCGCAGCTAAACTGGTTTAAGCATCAGAAATGAAGCAGGATGCACATTTTAGCTGCTCCTGCTGCTTTGCTCTGAACGTAGCGTTAGCTTCAGGTCCATCATTTCAATAAGGAAAAACATCAAACGGCGTTCAGATGTCCCGTCTGTCTCTAACTCTCCTGCTCACCTTTGATGTGGAGTCATTAAATGCTGTCACCTCCTAAAGCCGCCTGCTAGCGTCGCTAACGTCTGCTCCTCCATACTGGGATGGTGTCCTATTCAGTCCAGTTAGATAAACAGATTGATGATGTCACTCAGTCGCTTCTTTATTTTACTTTGCAAAGAGAGAGCAAGATGTGAACATCCCTCACAGTCTGATGCTCAGCGCTGGTCTGATCTAGAAGGTGTTTATCTCACTAATTAAAGGAAAAGTCTGTTCAGCAGGAATAATCAATGGATCATTATTTAGACTTAAAACTAATACGTTCGCTATGATTTAATGAATTTAACGTTAATCAGTAAAAAAATAAAAACAATAATATTCACTGAGTCTGGGAGCGGCCATTTTTGCCCAAATATGGCCGCTCCCTCCTGCCATCTTCCAGCAGTGACGTCACGGTGCGGTTAGCCTAGCGCCATTCTCCCCGCTTTCCAAGCTAAATCAATGGGAACTACTAGACACATCTGCAATCAACAACAATTATTGAAGATTTCCAGAGGACTTCACCATTGAAATTCACCAGAGCTATAGTGAAACTGACAATGCCCACGTGCATGGCAGCTGGATGCTGGAATACATCGGGTAAAAGTGGAAAAAAAGAGTTATTCCACCTTTCTGATTCCTGATCCTCCACGGACGGGTTGGTGGTTGGATCGCCAACTTGAAGAGGGAGGATTTGCCATCGAACTTCTGGCCAGAGAAAAAACCCGTAATATGTAGCCCACATTTGGAAGAAGAATGTTTTCAAGATGACTTGGATAATAGCGCGTTGTGACAAACACCAGATACAGCACTGGGACTTGATCAACAGCCGATACCGCACCGTGACAATGTCACTAACCAGTAGGTGGCAGTAGTGTTCTTTGACAAACATGGATGCCTCCAGTAAAGCACATTCACATGAAAATTACTCTGAATTAAAAACACTGATCATTTATTGAACAGGATGGAATCATTTCAGATTTAAAGAACTTTCAGGAGTTTGGATTCTGAATATGAGCGACTTTTCCTTTAACTCCCCACAGAAAGGCTGGAAGGTCTCTGCAAACTGAGACCCAATAATCAGTCTAGCTCATTATAAGAATAATTATTATTTTAACTCAGAGACTTTGTGTTTTTAAATGAATAGGAGGTCGATGAACTGGTCTCTGGATGTAATGGGACATCTGTCCATCTGTCCATCTGTCCAGTCTTCATGTCCAGGTTCAGGATCTTAGCTGAAGTTCGTGATGAAGGTGGCTGTGAGGATAAGCTCAGAAGTCCCAGGAGTGATGATGATGATGATGATGATGAGGAGGGTTACGGAGACGAGGAGCCGCTCTTGGATGAAGATGGAGACCTGGATGTGGCTCATCGGTGAGTGATGGAGTAACTCTGCAGACTGAAGCAGAGCGACGCTTCCTGACCACCCACAGCTGGACACTTTCTTAGCGACGCCAAAGGTTTTACACCAAAAACTCTTTTAATCATTAATCAGGATTTTAGGAGCTTCATTAATAAATTCTTCCAATGTATAAAAAGAGGAAATATTTGCGCTGAATCTCCTCAGAGAGCAGAAGGAGACGGACGGATGTTTCTGCTGTTTCTTTCAAACCTGAGAACAGAATAAAGATGATGTCAAAGCGTAGAAATGAGCAGACGATGCGGTTAGAAACCAGGAACCTTCAGGGAAACGTTCCTGGAACCGTTAAACCAACATGGCGAAGCTTTCATCTCATCCTTTCTCTGCTTCTCATCGCTGCATCCTCGCCGGGTCTGTCCGAGCGCGACCACGGCGGCGTGCAGCTCAGAGGAACGGCCTCATGGGGCTGTGACATCACAGAGCTGCGGCTCGCTTTGATCCATCAGGACGTCTGGAGTCCTAGACGCCATCAAACTGTCTGATCGCCATCCAGTGGGACCTTTTCTAAAGATGTAGAGCAGCCTGGTCCAGCGGTCCAATTAGAACTCAGTAGAAGGTGGTGATGAAGGCGGAGCTTAGCTTTAGAGTCACTCTGTCCTCATCTTACTGGACTGATGCTGGAAAACTGTCCTTCAGTCGTTGAATCTGACTTGTTTCTTCCCCCTGATCCTGCAGACCTAGAAAGGACTCGGTGGACGATGGCGGCAGAGACCTGGTCTGTCCCATCATCCTCCAACAGTCTGACCCGGAGCAGCACGACGGAGACGACGAAGACGATGAAGACGCTCATTTTTCCAAAGACATCATCAGGATCGGTAAGAATCCAAACTCTTCTGATTTTTTCAGTGTTGTTTGATATTAAACATGAATATTTAAAAACAGAAGAAAAAAAAACGTTTCATTCTCTAAACTCAGTGAAGTCTGAACATTTCAGAGTTAAATTAGATCTTAAAATGTTTAAACGGTCCAAACTTTCTCATCTTGGTGTAACATGTCTTTAACTGTTTCTCTGGAAACCAACAGGAAGATGTGAGACAGAAGGCGACGCTTTAGCTGCTTTTTCCGTGGTTGATGCTCTTATTTTGAAGTGAGACAGGAAGTAGTTCCCATTTAGTATCTTTACGGCTGAATCCCAAACTGTCCCCTAATCTCTGACCTTTTTCTCTTTTTTTACTGGGTGGATCATTTCAATCAGTGGTCCTGCTAACTGTCAATCATTCTGGTGATCTGTTCATGTAAGGCCCTCCTACGTTCTCGTCCCGGTAGCGATCTGTTTCTGTTAGCCGTATATCTGTGGAGAGCTATGGTTTCAGACAGTCATTGAACTCACCTTTCTCACCGCTGTTCTTTTTGAAAATGGCCGAGGGTCGGAAGAGAAAAACTGTCTAGGAAGTATGAGAAGAAAAAGACCTCAGAAGAGGCAGATGTATCCCAGAATGCTTTGCACAGAGAGCTCTCCTCGCAATGCATTCTGGGATTTGCTGTCACAGCGGCCCGCTGTCGCCATAGGCTGCCGCTACCCAACAGCAGTGACTAATAACAAAGATGGAGCAGGCACCATGCGGTGGAGGAGGAGCTACGTGACCAACAGAGCAAAAAGCAGTGATGGTCTGTCTGAATGGGCAGTTAACAGAGTTCACTATAAAGTTCACTATAAAGTTCACTATAAAGTTCATTATATAGTGAACCCCGCTCTATAGTGATGGAGGGATGTAGGGTCAGAGTCAGTGAGCTTGGATGAGAACAGCAACACTTAAACAGAGCGTGAACCAGGAGAAATGGGGTTATAAACAAGAATGAGACGGCTGATTCCCTCCAGTCGTTACCATGGCAACACAGTAACGCCCCGTGTACGTGGCTGTAGCTCTGTGGTGCAGCTTAACATGACATTATATATTTGCCTTTTTCTTAAAACAAATGTATACGATCAAACGGCTCTATGTCAAAGAGGAGCTTCCCTTCTGGGAATTAGTAACGTTTTTCATAAACTGATTTTCTGTTAGTGTGACGAAGATGCAGGCGCCGTTAGACCTGCTGCAGACTCTCTGTTTAAGCGCTGAACGGTCCACTGGCCCCACCCACTGAATGGTTTGGGACGGCCCTTAATGTGGCGGAGGCTCCACAGGACCGTGCGAGGGGAGGGTTGGTGCTCAGAGTTAATGTTTAGGGGAGCGGTTTGGGATTGAGCCGAGGTGAACAACATGTTAGAAAACTGAAGAACGGCCGGCATTTAAATCCACCTGCTAACTGTTAGCTGGCGGAAACATTCACTGCTTTTATTACTTTAATCTGATCATTTCCAGTCCGGGGTCCGTTTCATGAAGTTTGCTAACCCTGAAATCAGGGAAACTCCAAGTTGTCCCTTTAACAAAGAGAGTTTCCTCATCCTCCGTTTGTGTTGCCATAGTAACATCCTCCCCAGCGCTACGCTGATCAGCTTCATCACTCAGTGATAAAAACCTACTGGTTCAATCTGAAGCCATTCTATGGGACTGGTAACCGCTTTACTGGGACCATTACATCCAGAGCAGCTGCAAACAGACATGAAGGGAGATTTGTTTCTTTATCATTCAATCAAAAGAAGTTTGCTTCAATCATAAAATATATTTTCAATAAAAAAAAAAATTAACTTCAATCAAAGAAAAAAGTATTTGAATACAAGAATATATTTGAGACTCAAAAAAATACATTTGAACACTGCTTTCTTTGAAAATGTTTTATTTGATAGAAGTCTTTTTTAATTAAAGCAGCTTTTTTAAATTGAAGTAACATTGTTTTTGATTGGACCATATAATGGGGAGGACATTTGTGTCTTTATTATTCAATTAAAAAAGAAGTTACTTCAAACAAACAACAGAATCAATAAAAAAGTAACTTAAATGAAAAGATAAACGTTTTCAATCATAAAAAATAGTTTTTGAATGCAGATAAAATATTTGAGACTTTTTTCTATTATTGAAAATGTTCTCTTTGGTTGAAGGGATCTACTTAGTGTTTGGGCCAAACATGGGCAGGACATCTGTGTCTTAATCATTCAATTCCATAAAAGTTGATAAAAAAAATAAAAAAATTAAATCAAAGAAGAAACTGTGGAAATGCAAAAAAAAAAAAAGTAATTTATTATGATGATATTGAGGAAAACAGAGACAGGTTGGTCGTCTAGACATGAGAGGAAACCCCCTTTGATCAGGAAGGAACCTCCATCTTTCTGTTTGACTATGGGGGGGGGGGGGGTCATACTGAAGTTCTCCTAATTTGCTGCTGGATGTTCTCTGATGTTCCTCATTTTCATCGCCTTCATTTCAGCATCACTTCTTTTCCTTTCCAGAGCACACCATGGCTACACCCCTACAGGATGTTGGCAAACAGGTGAGTCCATGCTTTCCCGCCTTAATACAGAGTGTGTGTGTGTGTGTGTGTGGGGGGGGGGGGGGGGGGGTCTGATGTAGAGCTGATTAAACACTGAGCTAACTGCGATAGATAGAGCTGCTCCTTGGTTATGATGATGCTGACTCCACTCTATCAAGAACAGACGTCATTAAAGACACAGAATAAAAGCACCTTAGAGGCTGTGGGCAGGAGAGGAAGATGCTGGTTGAATGATTCAGTTCATTGGTTCTGTCCAGACGTCCATCTGTCTGATCTTCCTCCTGGGATCTTCTTCCTCTCTGATCTTCTTCTGCTGGTTTTCCAGCCTCTGCCTCTTTGCCTCCTTTCTTCGTCTGATCTTCACCTTCAGCTGCTTCTATATTCTCCTCATTAATTCCCGTCTTCCTTCTTAAAGCTGTTTTTTCTTGCTGAGCAGTTCCTTCAGATCCTCTGTGATCCAGGGTTTATTATCTGGAAGCATTCCTCTGTTCTGGTAGTGATGCTGTTACCTACAGGTAGTCAGTCACTCAGTCATTCATTGATGTCGTCTCCATGCTGCTCACACAGAGCATCCCAGCCTGTAGCCTCCAACCCTGCAGGGCTTCTTTAGCTTCCTGGGACCATCTCCTTCTCATTACAGTTCATTTAATGCAGGATTTTACCTCAAAACTGGATTGTAATCTGATTTGCATTTGAGATTTTCTTTTGCATAAAATAAATGCAGCTGATTGATGAACTGCTCAGTCAGGCAGGTTAAAGGCTGAACCTTTCCTCCCAATCAGCTGGAAGCTAGTTGCTGGAAGATGTTGCTTTTAGCCTTAGACACAATACCGGATCATTTCCAGAGATTAATACCTTCATGCTGAGGAAGGCTACGTTCCTACGCAGCCTGAAGCCAATCAGACTGTTCTGCCCATATGCCACCTGGATCCAATCGTTCCATGACTGAACAACAACGATGAAGATGAACACACATGAAGAACTACTGAAATTATTGTCAGATTACACATAAATAGATTAATTACTTCCACATAAAGAAAGGAATGACTCAGGGTTAGGATTTCCTCTGTGAACACAGCCTACTGAGCCTACTGCACAATCTGAGCCATTCTATGGGCCCGATAGCCACTAAGATAACAATTTAGCTCCATGGATGAGGGAGCTGGCAGGGAGACAGACTGAAGCACATCAGAAAAACTACTTTAGCAGCGTTAGAGTCACCAGACAGACTCGTCTATAAACCAGCCAGGCTTTTAGCTCGCTATGTGAACAGCCTTTACTAAAAAATCACAAATTGTACGTCCTGGTTTCCCCTGGAAACTTTGCTCAGATGTTCAACATTGAACTTTAGCTGATGGACGCGTTGCATCAACTAATCAGAGAAGTTATTCAACCTTCTTTTAGCCCGATTTGAAGGACGGGTCTGATGTATCTTCGCTATCCTTGGTTTACCCAGGATGCATTGCGAGACTAAGCAAGCCGTGATCAGAGGAAAGGTTACTTGGCGCCAAACAGTGGTGAAAATTGGAAGTTCAGTTTAATATAATCCAGTCTGTGAATAGTTTTGTCTGAAATGAATGAAAATAGTTGTTTTAATGGTTATAGAGTCAGATATGTGGTGGTAATGTTTGGTTTATCTAAAGGTTTTAATCTGTTACTGTGAAAATGAGTTTGGCTGGAATTTAATGACAGATTCTAATAGATCTGCAGAGAGGGGACTATAAATCTGATAGGATTTACATTTTTTATTGCTGTTTTGCACAATATGCTTGATTAAAGGAATAGTACACCCAAAACATGATTAGCCTTCATTTTCTACTCCCCCCCATGCTGAACAACACTCTGGAGTACTTTTTTGATATCTCAAATGCATCTGGAGATCTGGGAGGCTTCTTGCTGTCTGCTTACATTCAAATAATGGAGGTCTATGGCGCCCGAGGCAGAAAGGTCCATAAAAGTCCACAAAAAACGTGTCAATATTCCTCCATACTGCTCGTCCAATGTATTCCAAGTGTCCTGAGTGGGTAGCGTCCAGAATTTACTCGAAACGAAGTCATTTAGAATGTTTTTAGAGCATAAACAGTAGTGTATAGGATTTCCTCAAAGCGCGTTCAAAGCAACATCAGAGATGTGCAGAATGACAGCAGCAGGTTATTTAACTGACTAAGGTTTCTATCATTACATTGATTGGTTCCTGCTCCCGCTGGTTGGAACCTTTATTCCACTCTGAATTCTCATCAGTCTTTATTCACAATAAGAAAAGGAAAAAAATAAAAAAGAAGCAGCTTTGAAAAGTTTGGTAGTCAATCCTCTCCTGCTTTGTGTGTCAACTGTCACGGTTGCTAAGCGACAGAGAGTACAGCGGAGAAAGCCGCTGAAGGATAGATCCTTGGAGGCTGCAGCCCAGGAATTCAAACACAGACCATGTTTTCAGGAGGACTTTCTCACTTCAACATAGATTCTAACTACTTTCTACCCGCTGATCACAGCTAATATACCCGCCATTGTTCCAGGCAGAGAAAGTGTAGAGGCTAAGCCAAAGCTTTAAGCCCCTGAGGTGGTACACCAGGGTAAAGTTGACACACTGATTACTTAGCCGCTTAATTGAAATGAGAGCCGTCCTTGATGTTAGTGCAGGTAATCCATTTATTTCCATGACTCTGCAATGTTGACAATAACACCGCATACATTGTTTCTGCGATCCACATAGCATTCACTTCAATATAAGTAGTATTGCGTTGCGCTGCGGTCAAAAACTGTTTCCCCCTTTCGGGTGGAACACACCTGTCCTCATCAACACCGGATCATACTTATATAGACAGCTGACAGATCATGTGACCCAAACCATTTGGAATACAGAAATTCATAATCTGCTCCTACAGAAAGGATAGGGTAGCTCCGCTTACCGCGCATCAGACCCACTTTACCACCGCGCAGCTAGAGCAGCAAAGATGCTTCAGCTGCATCAGAACTAAACTGGTTTAAGCATCAGAAATGAAGCAGGACGCCTTCCTGCTGCTTTAGGTCTGAACGTAGCATGATTTACAATAAGCAGCTAGATTCTTCAAAGCTTCTTTTATTGATTTGTCTTCAGTTATTAGTGAAGTTTAGACATGTGGACCTGTCAGGGTTTGTTCTGCTGTGATGCTGATCTGCCTCTGATCTTTCTCTCATTAATCTGGGGGCCAAGGTTTGGCGGGGGGCCCTCCTCCTGGCCGACTTCATCCTCTCTGAGCCGGACCTGTTCAGAGGGGCCACGGTCCTGGAGCTGGGAGCAGGGACAGGCTTGACTAGCATCGTCACGGCAACCATGGCCAAAACAGTCTACTGCACAGGTACAGCACCCTCTGTTTGTGTTCATGGCATGAAGAACAGCAGAAGGATTTCAACCTGTTTGGATCAGCAAACACTAGTCAGTGTGAAGGGGTTCCAGGAACCAGGCTGGTTCCTGGTTCCCATGGTTTCTACTGCAGGAACCAGGTGAGGGAGAACTGTCTCTCCCGGACCGTTGGACCATGTTGAACATTTCCTGCTGGGTGAAGCTCTAAGCTCCAGCTTCTTCCTGCTTTACCTTATTTATTGAACTTTTCTGTTTCCCACCAGTGGATGTGTTTCTAGCAGCGCTGTGTGGACGCTTCCAGCCCAGAGGTCCCACTGGGAAACTGGGTCTTAGTGGCTAATAATCCATCTCCTTCCAATCAGATATTTATTTCTTTTATACATTTGATCCATTTTACAGTTCTATGTTTACCAGCATTTGGTTTGAAATGAAAAAGCAGAAATTTAAATGTTGTGATGAAAAAAAAAGAGCAGTTTTGGTCGGATTATAAGCTTTGCATTGAATTCTCTGGATTTGAAGCTGAAGCAATGAGTCATTGGAAGCTTTTCACACCAAATCCAAGGAGGTAAATTAACAGCATGTGGTGCAATAATATTTATTTAAATAATTGGCCTCGTCTGCTTCTGTCTCCTTGAACCCCAGTGGGCCTCAGCAGATGGCCGCTCACACTGAGCCTGGTTCTGCTGGAGATTTCTTCCTGTTCAAAGGGAGTTTTTCCTCTCCACTGTCGCTACAAGCATGCTTAGTGTGAGGGATTGCTGAAGAGTCAATGAGTCGATGCAATCAGCTGGTTTTCCTTAAGCCTCTGCTGATTTCTCCAGCATCTGCTTGACGTCCCAGATTCTCCTAAAACTCTGGCAGACGCTGAACTTTCTATGGATTTTTCTATTCTGGGCAAAAACAGAGTATTTATAACGATTCCAGAACTTCTGTCGAAAGACAGCCTAACTTCTGCATAACGCACGGCAGCGTAATGCCCAGGAAATGATGCACAGTGTCCTGAGGGGGGCAGGAGGCGCCCGGAGGTGCATAAAAAGATTACTTTGATTGCAGTATTAACCTAGCTGCTGTTTACCTCCCACCTAAAAATAAAAAGGTAGAAAGCAGGTTTCTGGTGTCAGCAGATTGAGCGTCATGTCTGCTAGGAAGTGTGTTGGTGGTGGGCGTGAACGCAGGGAGGATCCATCACTCACCTTCTGGCTCACCCTATGATGGGGATGAAGTCTGGAGGAGAACTGATGGTTTCCTCCTGTGAACCCCCTTTATACCAAAACGCTGCCAATACGCCATTATACAGTAGCTGGAAGGTAGAATGCTATGCAATGCTATGCTATGCTATACTATTCTATGCTATGCTATGCTATGCTATTCTATGCTATGCTATGCTATACTATGCTATGCTATTCTATGCTATGCTATGCTATACTATGCTATTCTATACTATACTATGCTATTCTATGCTATACTATGCTATACTATGCTATTCTATACTATACTATGCTATTCTATGCTATACTATGCTATTCTATGCTATACTATGCTATTCTATGCTATTTTGTTTTCCCTATATTTATCCAAATGTTTATTCTATGCAAAATTTCTTTTGCTTTTGCTATGCTATACTATGCATTCTTTTCTATACTATGCTATTTATGCTATACAAATGCTTTTCTTTTGCTATGCTATCTATCCCTTCAAATTCTTTTACTATACTATGCTATTCTAATGCTTCAACTATCAAACTATTCTATAAACTATGCTATGCTATGCTATTTATGCTATACTATGCTATCCTATATTTTGGGCTTTCCCTATACAAATACTATGTTTATTCTATGCAAATTCTATGCTATGCTATCCCTAAACAAATTCATACTATACTATGTTTAAAATTATGCTTTTCTTTTCTTTACTATCTTGCAAATGCTATCAAATACTTTTTTTTATTTCTATATTTAATTTTGGGCTATTCTATTTTTTTAACATGCTAAATAACAATCTATGCTATGCTTTCTGATGTTTATACTATGCTTGCTATGCTTTTCTATCTATACAAAGGCAAGGGCTATACTATCATTCTATACATACTTTTCTATTCTTTTGCTTTTACTATGTTATATTTATGCTATTTCTAGCTATTATTACTATACTATGCTTTTCCCAAATGCTATCTATTGCTTTTACAAAGCTATTTTTAAACTATACTTTTGCTTTCTTTGCTTTACTATCCCTATCCCTATGCTATCCCAATGCTATTCTAGCTTTTTCTATGCAAATCATGCTATCATGCTTTTCAAGTTTCAAACTATGCATGCTATACTATTTTATTCAAACCCTATCTATTCTTGTTTATATTTTGCTATCCTATGCAAACATCTATTCTATTTATACTTTTCTTTTCTAACTATCCAATGCTATTCTTTTGGCTTTTACTATGCTATACTTGCTATTCAAATGCTATTCTATCTAAATTTTATGCATTTATCCCTTATCATGCTATTCATCTATACAAAGCTTTACAATGCTTTTTTTTTCCCTTAAAATTTGCTATGCTTTTGCTATTCTAGCTATACTAGGCATGCTAGCTTGTTTCTATATTTTAATTATGCTATTCTATGCTATACAAGCTATGCAATGCTATACTTTTCCCTTAAAAATTATACTATGCTTTAACTATGCAAATCTATGCTAACTATCCCTATGCTATGCAATGCTATACTATGCTATTCTATACTAACTAGCTATTTTTAGGGCTATACTATCTAACATGCTTTTGCTTTTTATCCCCTATACTTTTTTATGCTATCCCTTTTTCTATGTTATACTACTATGCTATACATGCTATTCTTTACTTTCTAGGGGCAATTCTTTGCTTTACAAAAGGGGGGCTATACTATTTTATTCTATGTATTTATGCGTTTACAATGTTTTTATGCTATACAAAGCTATATATGCTTTTCCCTTTTACTAAAACAAATTCTATTCAAAGCTTCAAAAGTAGCTTGCTATGCTTTGCTATTCTATGCTATTCTATGCTATACTATGCTATTCTATGCTATACTATGCTATACTATGCTATGCTATTCTATGCTATACTATGCTATGCTATGCTATTCTATCTATTCAAATGTTTACTAGCTATTCTATGCTATTACAAAGCTTTTCTATGCTTTTACTATACAACTATTCAAAATATAAAACTTTCTATTTTTGCTATCCCTATGTTTTTCCCAAATGCAAATTCTATGCTATACTATGCTATTTATGCTTTTACTATACTATGCTTTTCTATGCTTTTACATTTTATACTATCCTATGCTATTCATGCTTTACTTTGGCTTTTCTTTGCTAAACAAATGTTTTGGCTTTTTCTATGCTTTTACTATGCTATCTATACAAATGCTAAAAAAATTGCTATACATGCATGCTATGCAAAACATCTATTCTATGTTTTAAAACTATTTTTTGCAATGTTACTATCCCAAATTCTTTTGCTATCATACATGCTATACAAAACCTATTTATGCTATACTATGCTATACTTTCCCTTTCTATCATACTGGCTATTCTATCTATACTATGTATTCTTCCTATCCCTATGCTTTTTCTATCCCAATACATACTAGCTATTCAAACCCAACTTTTGTATTCTTTTGCTATACTATCAAATTCTTTTGTTTTAACTTTCATGCTATGCTATACAAATGATTCTAGCTTACTATGCAAATTCCCAAATGCTATACTTTTGCAATTCTATGCTATACAAAACCCAAAGCTATTCTTTTTCTAACTATGCTATTCTATGCTTTTCCCTAGGCTATTTTATCAACTATGGTATTCTATGCTATACAAAACATGCTTTTTTCTTTTCTATTCTATATATACTTTTCCTATTCTTGCATACTATGCTATTCTATGCATTTTTGCTAAAATATCTATTCTATGCTATACTTTTCAAAGTATTTCTTTTCAAAATTGTATTCTAGTTTCTTTTATCCCTTTTCTTGTTATACATCATTCTATCAAAATCTATTTAGCATTCTATGCTATTCTATGCTATACTATGCTTTTTTATTGCTTTTTACTTTTGCTTTTGCTATACTATTCTTTTGCAAATTTTTACTATACTTTGCAATTCTATGCATTCTTGCTATACTTTGCTTTCTATGCTATACAATGCTATGCAATTTTATTCAAATTTTCTATGCATACTATGATATTTCAAATCCCTTTTACTTTTGCTATTCCTTTTCTATATTTTTATACAAGCTATTCAATACTATACAATGCTTTTCCCTTGCTTTTAATATCATTCTATGCTTTTCTTTTATACTATGCTTTTCTTTTGCTATACTATACTATGCTATTCTATGCTTACTATGCTACCTTGCCTAATCTTCTAATACATCTTTGCTATTCAAATTGTATACAATGCTATTTTACTATGCTATTCTTTGCAATATTTATGCATGCTATGCTTTTCTATGCTATTCTTTCTTTCTATCCCAAATGTTTAAGGTTTAAAATAGCTTTCTATCCCATGCTTTTTACATGCAAATACATGCTTTTTCTATGCTATACTAGGGTATACAAAGGCTATGTATGCTATTCTTCTTTTCAAAGCTTTCTATGCAAATTTTTCCTAACAATGCTATTCAAATGCTATACAAATTTTTCCCATGCTATACAGCTTTTACAAAGCTTTTTCTATTAAACTAAAACTTTTCAAAATTTCTATGCAATACATGCTATACAAAACCCTTATGCTTTTCCCTATCTATACTATCCTTTTCCCAAATGCAATACAAAGCTATGCTTTTTCAAAAGTTTAACTATCTTTGTATCCTTTAAGCTATTTTTATGCTATACTATGTTTTGCTATCTATACTATGCTATTCAAAGAAAAACTATGCTATGCTATGCAAAATATATATACATGCATGCAAATTACTATGCTATACTATGCTATTCTATCCCTATACAATGCTATAAAATGCTATGCTTTTGTTTTTCCCTAAGCTTTTCTATGCTAACTTTGCTATTCAATGCTATACAATCTATTCTTTTGTATCCCAAATACAGGAAAATTCTTACTATATATGCAAACTTTGCTATACTATGCAAATTCCTATCTAAAAAAAATGCTTTACATGCTATGCTTTGATACAAATGCTTTTCTATGTTTACAATGCTTTTCTTGCTATACAAATGCTATTCATGCTATACTTTTTCTATTCTATGCTATACTATACTATCCCTTTTCTAAAATATCCATGTATTCTAGCTATTCTATGCTTTTCCCTATGCTAAAACTATCTTTTCCCTATTTACTAATTGCAAAATTCAGCTTTTCCCTATACTAAACTATGCTTTTTCTTTTGCTTTACTATGCTATTCTATGCTTTTTCTAGGCTATACTATCTTTTTTCTATGCTATACAAATACTATGTTTCTATACTAAAAAAAAGCTATTCTATCTATTCTATGCTATTCTATGTATACTATCTATTCAAGGGAAAAATATTATACTATGCTATTCTTTTGCATTTTTGGGCTTACTTTTGCAAATTCTATGCTATACTATGCGCTATGCTTTCTATGCTTTTCCCTATGTATATTTTGTTTTCTTTTCTATCTTTAAAAGTTTTTAACTATCTATTCTATTCTTTTACTATCATGCTATCTTTTCCCTATGCTTTTCTATGCAAATTCTATGTTTTTCTTTCTTTCCCATGCTTTTCTATGTTTTTACTTTTACTTGCTTTTCATACTTTTACTATGCTTTTCAAGGGTTTATACAAAGCTATTCTATGTTTTCTATGCTAAAATATGCTATTCTATGCATACTTTAACAAATGTATCTATCCTAAAAACTATCCCTTATACTAGCTATGCTATTCTATGCTAAAATTATTTTTGCTATTCTATCTATTTCTTGCTATGCTATACTATGCTTTTTCAAATGCTTTTCCCTTATGCTATTCAAGCTTTTACTATGATATTCAGCAAATACTATGCTATCTTTTGCTATACTATGCTATACTATGTTTATGCTATGCTTTTACTATGCAAAAACATGCTATTCTATGTATACTATGCTATTAAAACTTGCATGCATTCAAATCTATACAATCTTTTCCCTTCTATACTATCTTTTCAAAGTATACTATCCAGCTTTTTTTTTATTTTAAAACTATGTATTCTATGCTTTTACAAAGGCTATTTCATGCTATACTTTTCTTTTCTATGCTTTACTATACAAATGCTTTTCTTGCAAACTATGAAAAACTTTGTTTATTCTATGCATATACAACAAATTCTAGCTATACTATGCAATGCTATTCTTTGCTAAACTATGCTATTCTATGCTATACTATGTATGCAAATGCTTTTACTATGCAAATTCTTTTGTTTTTACTATGCTATGCATACTATGCTATGTTTATGTTTATACTATGCTATACTTTTGCTATTCTATCATACACTATACTATGCAATGCTTACTATGCTTTCTATGTATACTATGCTTTGCTAGGGCTTACTATGTATCTATTGCAAATACTAGGGCTATACTATGCTATGTTTAAAACTATTTTTTTCCCCTGCTAAATATGCTTTTCTTTGCTATCTTCAATCCCAAATGTTTTATCCCTTCCTTTACTAGTTTTAACTATCTATGTATACTATGCTAGTATGCTATACTATGTTTTCTATGCTATGCTATTTTTACTATGCTTTTTCAAAGTTTATGCTATACAAATACAAATGCTAACAATGTATTTTTATGCTATGCTATTCACAATGCTAAAATATACTATGCTTTTACTATGCTTTGCTATACTATGCTTTTCAAATGCTTTTTTAACGGGCTTGCTATATTTTTTTGGGGGGCTTTTAACCCAAGCTTTTCTATGCTATATTTATGCTAGGCTATGCTATACTATGCTAACTTCTTTTTGTTTTAAAACTATGCTATTCTATACTATGTTTATGCTTTCTTTACTATCCCATCCCTAATTCATATTTTGCAATTCTATGCATACTAGCTATTCTATGTTTTTATGCTATGCTATGCTATACTTTAACTAGGGCTAAACAAAGCTTTTTTTGGCTTTTACAAAGCAAATGCTTTTCTATCAAAGCTATGCTAAACTATGCTATTCATGCTATGCTATGCTAAAAACTATACTATTTTTTTTACTTTTCTTTCTATGCTATGTATTCTAGTTTTCCCTTTACTTTACTATCCCTTTCATGCTATGCTAACTAGGCTATTCTAGGGCTAAATATGCTAGCAAATTCTATGCTAAACTTACTATCTTTCTTTTGCATCCTATACTATGATTCTAGCTATACTTTTGCTATGCTATATTTTGGGCTAGGGCAAAGGTATGCATACTATGCTTTTTCAAATCAAATACTATGCTTTACTAAAAACTATCTTGAAATCCCTATACTATCTATACTATGCATTCTTACTTTTACTTTTCTATACTATGGCATTTCTATGCTAACTATGCAAAGCTATACAATCTATTCTATCTATACTTGCAATACTATGCTATGCAATATTTTTATTTTAACTATGCTTTTGCTTTTTGTATGCTATGCTATTTATACTATGCTAGGGCTATACTATGCTTTTCTATGCTTGTTATGAAAAATTTTCGCTTTTCTAAAATTTAAACCCCCACAAAATTTTTTTGTTTTTCCGTTTTTCAGCAGGCCCTCCAGAAATAGCAAAAACCCAAGACGGGACCAAAAGGACAAGACGGGAAATTAAAAATTTTAAAAACCTGAAAATTTTTAAAGAACAATTAATTAAATCAGTGAAAAAAATAATTTTTAAATAAAAAGGTTTTAATTTCACTTTGGAATACATTTATTTAGTTTTAAAGCTGCTTGTGAAGGGGGAAAAACGGGGTGGATGCAGCAAAAAGGGAACCCAAAGCATGGAGGGAGGGAAAGGGAAGTGAAGTTGTGTCCATTCTAGGGATGCAGGATCTATTGATGTTAGAATCAGTATCGGTTGTAATAATAATAATAATAATAATAATAATAAATAAAGCACTGAAGGCATCCATCTGTCTAGATCTATAAATATCAGAGTACTGTGGTTGTCTTGTGTTCTCAGCAGTAGGAAAGCGTTCAATAAATAGATGTTTGAGGTGATTTTTGAAAAATATAAACCCTGCTGAGAGACGCTGTGGGTCGTCAGCCTCCTCAGCGCCTCCACCACCTTTTATCGTAGTTACACCTTTGACCAGTGCTGCCGCTGGGCGGCCACAGGTCCCTGTGACGTTTGGGAGCGTTGCATCTCCATCCTGTCCAGGCATCAGAGTGAGGAACGTTTTTCCCATTTCACCATCACATTGAGGACCAGTTGGTATAGAGTGAGGACGTTCTGTTAGGGTGTGAACTGGGTTAGGGATGTGCTGCTTGTTTGAGCAGAGAAAGGGTTGAAAATGAGCTGAAACCAAACAGACCTCGCTACATATAGCAGGACCAGTGTGTGTGTGTAATCTATTTCTCTTTCTCAGATGTGGGCGAAGACCTTCTAAGGTTGTGCAACAGGAATGTTTGTCTGAACAAACACATCCTGGAACCAGCAGGTAAGATAACAGTTTGTCTGCATTCATGTTTGACATTAATAATGAGGTTAATAAAGGTTCCTGTAACCTGTTTCCTCTAAAGAGGAGAACATAAAGCTTTAGTATTTATTACCTCTGGCCCAGGACTCCCTTCATCAAGAGGTATAAATGAAAATAGTGTGAATAACACAGCCTAAGCTGCATCAGTTCAAGCATGAATCAAAGTTTTTTGGTTCTTTTCTAAAATAATAGGTCTTTTTTGAACAGCAGTAATAAAGACGCTGAGAAAAGGCAGGTCTCATTGTTTTCCATTTGTTCTACATCATCATGTCAACCAGAGAAACGTCAGAGCTCTGGCTCAGACGGTTCCAGACCTCTGGCTCCCACGGTTCCAGACCTCTGGCTCAGACGGTTCCAGACCTCTGGCTCAGACGGTTCCAGACCTCTGGCTCCGACGGTTCCAGACCTCTGGCTCAGACGGTTCCAGACCTCTGGCTCCCACGGTTCCAGACCTCTGGCTCAGACGGTTCCAGACCTCTGGCTCAGACGGTTCCAGACCTCTGGCTCCCACGGTTCCAGACCTCTGGCTCAGACGGTTCCAGACCTCTGGCTCAGACGGTTCCAGACCTCTGGCTCAGACGGTTCCAGACCTCTGGCTCAGACGGTTCCAGACCTCTGGCTCAGACGGTTCCAGACCTCTGGCTCAGACGGTTCCAGACCTCTGGCTCCGACGGTTCCAGACCTCTGGCTCCGACGGTTCCAGACCTCTGGCTCAGACGGTTCCAGACCTCTGGCTCCCACGGTTCCAGACCTCTGGCTCAGACGGTTCCAGACCTCTGGCTCAGACGGTTCCAGACCTCTGGCTCAGACGGTTCCAGACCTCTGGCTCAGACGGTTCCAGACCTCTGGCTCAGACGCTTTCAGACCTCTGGCTCAGACGGTTCCAGACCTCTGGCTCCGACGGTTCCAGACCTCTGGCTCCGACGGTTCCAGACCTCTGGCTCCGACGGTTCCAGACCTCTGGCTCAGACGGTTCCAGACCTCTGGCTCAGACGGTTCCAGACCTCTGGCTCAGACGGTTCCAGACCTCTGGCTCCGACGGTTCCAGACCTCTGGCTCCGCCGGTTCCAGACCTCTGGCTCAGACGGTCCCAGACCTCTGGCTCAGACGGTCCCAGACCTCTGGCTCAGACGGTTCCAGACCTCTGGCTCAGACGGTTCCAGACCTCTGGCTCAGACGGTCCCAGACCTCTGGCTCCGCCGGTTCCAGACCTCTGGCTCAGACGGTCCCAGACCTCTGGCTCCGACGGTTCCAGACCTCTGGCTCAGACGGTTCCAGACCTCTGGCTCCCACGGTTCCAGACCTCTGGCTCAGACGGTTCCAGACCTCTGGCTCAGACGGTTCCAGACCTCTGGCTCAGACGGTTCCAGACCTCTGGCTCAGACGGTTCCAGACCTCTGGCTCCGACGGTTTCCAGACCTCTGGCTCCGACGGTTCCAGACCTCTGGCTCCGACGGTTCCAGACCTCTGGCTCCGACGGTTCCAGACCTCTGGCTCAGACGGTTCCAGACCTCTGGCTCCCGACGGTTCCAGACCTCTGGCTCAGACGGTTCCAGACCTCTGGCTCCCACGGTTCCAGACCTCTGGCTCAGACGGTTCCAGACCTCTGGCTCAGACGGTTCCAGACCTCTGGCTCAGACGGTTCCAGACCTCTGGCTCAGACGGTTCCAGACCTCTGGCTCAGACGCTTTCAGACCTCTGGCTCAGACGGTTCCAGACCTCTGGCTCAGACGGTTCCAGACCTCTGGCTCCGACGGTTCCAGACCTCTGGCTCCGACGGTTCCAGACCTCTGGCTCAGACGGTTCCAGACCTCTGGCTCAGACGGTTCCAGACCTCTGGCTCCGACGGTTCCAGACCTCTGGCTCCGCCGGTTCCAGACCTCTGGCTCAGACGGTCCCAGACCTCTGGCTCAGACGGTTCCAGACCTCTGGCTCAGACGGTTCCAGACCTCTGGCTCAGACGGTCCCAGACCTCTGGCTCCGCCGGTTCCAGACCTCTGGCTCAGACGGTCCCAGACCTCTGGCTCCGACGGTTCCAGACCTCTGGCTCCGACGGTTCCAGACCTCTGGCTCAGACGGTTCCAGACCTCTGGCTCCCACGGTTCCAGACCTCTGGCTCAGACGGTTCCAGACCTCTGGCTCAGACGGTTCCAGACCTCTGGCTCAGACGGTTCCAGACCTCTGGCTCCCACGGTTCCAGACCTCTGGCTCAGACGGTTCCAGACCTCTGGCTCCCACGGTTCCAGACCTCTGGCTCAGACGGTTCCAGACCTCTGGCTCAGACGGTTCCAGACCTCTGGCTCAGACGGTTCCAGACCTCTGGCTCAGACGGTTCCAGACCTCTGGCTCAGACGGTTCCAGACCTCTGGCTCAGACGCTTTCAGACCTCTGGCTCAGACGGTTCCAGACCTCTGGCTCAGACGGTTCCAGACCTCTGGCTCCGACGGTTCCAGACCTCTGGCTCCGACGGTTCCAGACCTCTGGCTCAGACGGTTCCAGACCTCTGGCTCAGACGGTTCCAGACCTCTGGCTCAGACGGTTCCAGACCTCTGGCTCAGACGGTTCCAGACCTCTGGCTCCGACGGTTCCAGACCTCTGGCTCAGACGGTCCCAGACCTCTGGCTCAGACGGTCCCAGACCTCTGGCTCAGACGGTTCCAGACCTCTGGCTCAGACGGTTCCAGACCTCTGGCTCAGACGGTCCCAGACCTCTGGCTCCGCCGGTTCCAGACCTCTGGCTCAGACGGTCCCAGACCTCTGGCTCCGACGGTTCCAGACCTCTGGCTCCGACGGTTCCAGACCTCTGGCTCAGACGGTTCCAGACCTCTGGCTCCCACGGTTCCAGACCTCTGGCTCAGACGGTTCCAGACCTCTGGCTCAGACGGTTCCAGACCTCTGGCTCAGACGGTTCCAGACCTCTGGCTCAGACGGTTCCAGACCTCTGGCTCAGACGGTTCCAGACCTCTGGCTCAGACGCTTTCAGACCTCTGGCTCAGACGGTTCCAGACCTCTGGCTCCGACGGTTCCAGACCTCTGGCTCCGACGGTTCCAGACCTCTGGCTCCGACGGTTCCAGACCTCTGGCTCAGACGGTTCCAGACCTCTGGCTCAGACGGTTCCAGACCTCTGGCTCAGACGGTTCCAGACCTCTGGCTCCGCCGGTTCCAGACCTCTGGCTCCGACGGTTCCAGACCTCTGGCTCCGACGGTTCCAGACCTCTGGCTCCGACGGTTCCAGACCTCTGGCTCAGACGGTTCCAGACCTCTGGCTCAGACGGTTCCAGACCTCTGGCTCAGACGGTTCCAGACCTCTGGCTCAGACGGTTCCAGACCTCTGGCTCCGACGGTTCCAGACCTCTGGCTCCGACGGTTCCAGACCTCTGGCTCCGACGGTTCCAGACCTCTGGCTCAGACGGTTCCAGACCTCTGGCTCCGACGGTTCCAGACCTCTGGCTCCGACGGTTCCAGACCTCTGGCTCAGACGGTTCCAGACCTCTGGCTCAGACGGTTCCAGACCTCTGGCTCCGACGGTTCCAGACCTCTGGCTCCGACGGTTCCAGACCTCTGGCTCCGACGGTTCCAGACCTCTGGCTCCGACGGTTCCAGACCTCTGGCTCCGACGGTTCCAGACCTCTGGCTCAGACGGTTCCAGACCTCTGGCTCAGACGGTTCCAGACCTCTGGCTCAGACGGTTCCAGACCTCTGGCTCAGACGGTTCCAGACCTCTGGCTCCGACGGTTCCAGACCTCTGGCTCCGACGGTTCCAGACCTCTGGCTCCGCCGGTTCCAGACCTCTGGCTCTGTATATATACACACACCAGTATAACTGTGAAACGTTTTATATAACAATATAAGACGTTTCATTTAGTGAATAACTCTCTGGCTGACAGGCAGGCAGCTCTTATAGGGAACCTTCAGATCATCTCAGCTTCTATGTATCAGCAGGGAACTTTAAATCAGAGGCCAGGATAATCCCATGTGGGGTTCCTCAAGGCTCCATTCTGGGCCCCCTCCTATTCAACATCTACATGCTCAACATCTACATGCTCGGATTATAGCAAACAACCAGATCAGTTACCATGACGATGCAGACGACACACAGCTTTACATCCTAATGTCAGCAGGTGACTCTGAACCCATCAGAGCGCTGGTTAGATGCTGAGATTCTACTATAGATGTTATCTATAGTAGAATTGATCACTGCAAAAGAGTCTGCATTAGTTTGCCTAAAAACCCATCAGACAGCTGCAGCTGATCCAGACGCTGCTGCCTGCGTCCTCACTAGAACTATAGAAAGTAGATCAGACAGCTGATCCAGACGCTGCTGCCTGCGTCCTCACTAGAACTATAGAAAGTAGATCAGACAGCTGATCCAGACGCTGCTGCCTGCGTCCTCACTAGAACTATAGAAAGTAGATCAGACAGCTGATCCAGACGCTGCTGCCTGCGTCCTCACTAGAACTATAGAAAGTAGATCAGACAGCTGATCCAGACGCTGCTGCCTGCGTCCTCACTAGAACTATAGAAAGTAGATCAGACAGCTGATCCAGACGCTGCTGCCTGCGTCCTCACTAGAACTATAGAAAGTAGATCAGACAGCTGATCCAGACGCTGCTGCCTGCGTCCTCACTAGAACTATAGAAAGTAGATCAGACAGCTGATCCAGACGCTGCTGCCTGCGTCCTGACTAGAACTATAGAAAGTAGATCAGACAGCTGATCCAGACGCTGCTGCCTGCGTCCTCACTAGAACTATAGAAAGTAGATCAGACAGCTGATCCAGACGCTGCTGCCTGCGTCCTCACTAGAACTATAGAAAGTAGATGACATCTGCCCGGTTCTAAAGTCCTTCCTCTGGCTCCTTGTAGCTCAGAGAATAGGGTCCTTCTTTTAGTCTAGAAATCAGTGAATAGATCAGCACTTCAATTCATAACAGATCTGTTGCCAGTGGATCTACCTCCCACACCACTCAGGTCTTCTAGTTCCAGCCCACTCTGTCCACCCAGAACTAGAGCTAAACATGGGGAAGCAGCATCTATGCTCCACGGATCTGGATCTGGTTAGAAAAGAATAAAGAAAGAAAGAAAGTTCTTTGAAGTCAGAGTTTCTAACCAGATAGTTTAGAGCTTAGACTGATGGAGTTAAACTGTTAACTGAGGAATTATTAGTTTAAGGTTCTGATCCAACTGTCTGATTAGCTTCACTACCTGCTTTGATCCTGTTTTTATCCACCAGGTGGGAAGGTGAAAGTTAAACGGCTAGACTGGCTTCAGCACAGTCTTTGCACAGGTAAGAGATCACATTTTATCTTCTGATCTTCAGCACATCAGGAAAACTACTTTACCTCCTAGCAGCATTAAAGCCACCAGACAGACTCGTCTATAAACCAGCCTGATCCCGGCTTTTAGCTCGCTAGTTGAACAGCCTTTACTAAAAAATGACAAATTGTACGTCCTGTTTCCCCTGGAAACTTCCCTCAAATGTTAAACATTGAACTTTATCTGCTGGACGCGCCACATCAACCAATGAGAGAAGCTGATCTGGGAGCTGGCAGGGAGTCAGACGCAGCACTGCTGATGCAGAGCGCTATGATCACTCCTCTGAAACAGTTTATTAACGCCTAAATTAACTAAGAATGTAGAAACCTGCCGGCAGAATATGTTGGCTTTTATTATCCTGCTGCCTGCAGTTTGTAGCACAGACCTGAAAAACGCTAACATCTACTTCCAGCCGCCACCAACAGGAGGGGAAAACCCTGGAGAGGCGAGCGGGCCTGAGGCAGCTGCTGCTGGGGATTCCCAGTGACAGCGCAGCGCCGGTATGTGGGGGTCTGAGCAGGCATGCTCTGGTTTGAATGGTTTTCTGGCAGGTTTAACTGCAGCCAAACAGCAACAAACACATTTAAGAGGAAAACGTTTCTGGGTGATGAAACTCTGTTGAATAACCACAGATATACAGTGGGTACGGAAAGTATAAAATGAACTCAAAGTTAATTTTATTTCTCATTAATGTTCACTCAGCACCCCATCTTCACAGTAAAAACAGGAAATAATATAACATGGTCATAAGTTTTCACACCCTTGGCTCAGTATTGAGTAGAAGCACCTTCTGAGCTCGTTCAGCCATGATGATGGATGCAGGGATCCTTCCTGCAGATCCTCTCCTGTTCTGTCAGGTTGGATGCTGAGCGTTGGTGGGCGGCCATTTTCAGCTCACTAGAGATGCTCCATTGGGTTTAGGTCAGGGCTCTGCCATGAAGCCCCGCCTGGTGGGGGGCTGCAGGGATAGGTGACTTTCTCCCATCTCCCTGCTGCTCCTCTGGAGCTCAGCCAGTGATGGTTGACTTCTTCTCTGACCATTGCTCAGCTTGGCTGGACGTCCAGGTCTAGGAAGAGTTCTGCTCGTCCCAAACTTCTTCCATTGGAGGATGATGGAGCCGCTGAGGAACCTGTTTAGGAACCTTGGCCTCAGTCTCTGAGCTCCTTTCCTTCCCCCTCATGGTTCTGCTTTGCTCTGACAGCTCTTCTATAGACAGCTGTGCTCCTTTCCTCATCAGGTTCATTAAACACAGCTGGACTCCAATGGAGGAGCAGAACCATCTGATCAGCAAACCAGACGGCCTGAGAGTTAAAGAGGAGCCACAGCAAAGGGCCTGAATACTGATTACCAGCTGGTGTTTTTTCTTCTTTTTCAATAAATCTTCAACAAAATTCTACATTTCTGTTTTTTTTTATCCTGCCAGGATGAGATGCTGAGTTACATTAATGAGAAATAAAATGAACTTTATTGATTTTAGCAAAAGGCTGCAATGAAACAAAGAGTGAGAGATTTAAAGGGTGTGAATACTTTGTGAAACAGTAACCTATGTTACATAACCAGACCCATTCAGTGGTGGTTCATCTAAAACGAGGTCTTTAGTCTGGAGGTTCTGCTTCTTCATGCGCGTCGTTTATCTATAGAATATGAAGGAATTGCAGGCGTGGATTTTTTTGTGTATTTTTTTCAGCGTATTTTTTCTGTGTATTTTTTTCTGTGTATTTTTTACTGTCTATTTTTTACTGTCTATTTTTTCCTGTGTATTTTTTTTCTGTGTATTTTTTTCTGTGTATTTTTTTCTGTGTATTTTTTACTGTCTATTTTTTACTGTCTATTTTTTCCTGTGTATTTTTTTTCTGTGTATTTTTTTCTGTGTATTTTTTTCTGTGTATTTTTTTTCTGTGTATTTTTTCCGCGTATTTTTTTCCATGTATTTTTTCCGCGTATTTTTCCTGTGTATTTTTTCCTGTGTATTTTTTTTCTGTGTATTTTTTCCGTGTATTTTTTTCAGTGTATTTTTTTCGGTGTATTTTTTTCTGTGTATTTTTTCCTGTGTATTTTTTTTCAGTGTATTTTTTTCGGTGAATTTTTTTCTGTGTATTTTTTTCCGTGTATTTTTTTCCTGTGTATTTTTTTCCGTGTATTTTTTCCTGTGTATTTTTTTCCGTGTATTTTTTTCCGTGTATTTTTTTCCTGTGTATTTTTTTCCGTGTATTTTTTCCTGTGTATTTTTTTCCGTGTATTTTTTTCCGTGTATTTTTTCCGTGTATTTTTTTCCGTGTATTTTTTTCCGTGTATTTTTCCGTATATTTTTTCCTGTGTATTTTTTTTGGTGTATTTTTTTCTTTGTATTTTTTTCGGTGTATTTTGCTCTCAGATGTTGTGCTTTGGTCCACCATCATCTCATCAGGCTTCCTCCCTCTCTGCTCTCTAGATGCTGACGGGGAGTTTAGTTGGACAGAAGAGGAAGTGGCTGATCTCTATGACAACGCCAGCTTCATTCTGGCTGCTGATGGTAGGTTCTAAACTATCAAACTCCTCCAGCTTCTACTTCATCGTTCTAGAGTTTTCTGAATGGAGGATAAATCACGTTAGCATTCACACCCAGTCATGGTTACTGGCAGCCGTCAGACGGAGCTCTGGATCCCAGTGAGGAATGAAGGCTGCTGGGTCCATAGCTGGGAGCTGATTGGACGACCGTGACGCTCCTCGCAGACTGCTCCTAAACCGTCACGCTGATCATGTTCCAATGACCTGAACCTGTGAGCTCTGAACGGAGGACCGTCCCGGTCCTGATGGGGTCCTCCTCAGAACCACAGGAGGCCACTGATCTTCCTGTTTCTGTCTCCAGTTTGCTACGATGACGACCTGACGGACGGCCTCTTCAGAACGCTGTACCGCCTCTGCAGCAGCTTCCGCCACGCCGCCGCCATCTTCATTTCTCTGGAGAAAAGGTACAACCAGCAAACCTGGAGGCCAGGCTGACCACTGACTGACTGGTTATTCAGCTCCTTCCTGACTGGTTATTCAGCTCCTTCCTGACTGGTTATTCAGCTGGTTCCAGACTGGTTATTCAGCTCCTTCCTGACTGGTTATTCAGCTCGTTCCAGACTGGTTATTCAGCTCGTTCCAGACTGGTTATTCAGCTCGTTCCAGACTGGTTATTCAGCTCGTTCCAGACTGGTTATTCAGCTCGTTCCAGACTGGTTATTCAGCTCGTTCCAGACTGGTTATTCAGCTCGTTCCAGACTGGTTAATCAGCTCGTTCCAGACTGGTTATTCAGCTCGTTCCAGACTGGTTATTCAGCTCGTTCCAGACTGGTTATTCAGCTCGTTCCAGACTGGTTAATCAGCTCGTTCCCCACTGGTTATTCAGCTCGTTCCAGACTGGTTATTCAGCTCCTTCCTGACTGGTTATTCAGCTCGTTCCAGACTGGTTAATCAGCTCGTTCCCCACTGGTTATTCAGCTCGTTCCAGACTGGTTATTCAGCTCGTTCCAGACTGGTTAATCAGCTCGTTCCAGACTGGTTATTCAGCTCGTTCCAGACTGGTTATTCAGCTCGTTCCAGACTGGTTATTCAGCTCGTTCCAGACTGGTTATTCAGCTCGTTCCAGACTGGTTATTCAGCTGGTTCCAGACTGGTTATTCAGCTGGTTCCAGACTGGTTATTCAGCTCGTTCCAGACTGGTTATTCAGCTCGTTCCAGACTGGTTATTCAGCTCGTTCCAGACTGGTTATTCAGCTCGTTCCAGACTGGTTATTCAGCTGGTTCCAGACTGGTTATTCAGCTGGTTCCAGACTGGTTATTCAGCTCGTTCCAGACTGGTTATTCAGCTGGTTCCAGACTGGTTATTCAGCTCGTTCCAGACTGGTTATTCAGCTCGTTCCAGACTGGTTATTCAGCTGGTTCCAGACTGGTTATTCAGCTCGTTCCTGACTGGTTATTCAGCTGGTTCCAGACTGGTTATTCAGCTCGTTCCAGACTGGTTATTAAGCTCCTTCCTGACTGGTTATTGAGCTGGTTCCAGACTGGTTATTAAGCTCCTTCCTGACTGGTTATTGAGCTGGTTCCAGACTGGTTATTCAGCTCCTTCCTGACTGGTTATTCAACTCCTTCCTGACTGGTTATTCAGCTCGTTCCAGACTGGTTAATCAGCTCGTTCCAGACTGGTTAATCAGCTGGTTCCAGACTGGTTATTCAGCTGGTTCCAGACTGGTTATTCAGCTCGTTCCAGACTGGTTATTCAGCTCCTTCCTGACTGGTTATTCAGCTCGTTCCAGACTGGTTAATCAGCTCGTTCCAGACTGGTTATTCAGCTCCTTCCTGACTGGTTAATCAGCTCGTTACAGACTGGTTATTCAGCTCCTTCCTGACTGGTTAATCAGCTCGTTACAGACTGGTTATTCAGCTCCTTCCTGACTGGTTATTCAGCTGGTTCCCGACTGGTTATTCAGCTCCTTCCTGACTGGTTATTCAGCTCGTTCCAGACTGGTTATTCAGCTGGTTCCAGACTGGTTAATCAGCTCGTTCCAGACTGGTTATTCAGCTCCTTCCTGACTGGTTAATCAGCTCGTTCCAGACTGGTTATTCAGCTCCTTCCTGACTGGTTATTCAGCTCCTTCCTGACTGGTTAATCAGCTCGTTCCTGACTGGTTATTCAGCTCCTTCCTGACTGGTTATTCAGCTGGTTCCCGACTGGTTATTCAGCTCCTTCCTGACTGGTTATTCAGCTCGTTCCAGACTGGTTATTCAGCTGGTTCCAGACTGGTTATTCAGCTCCTTCCTGACTGGTTATTCAGCTCCTTCCTGACTGGTTAATCAGCTCGTTCCAGACTGGTTATTCAGCTCCTTCCTGACTGGTTATTCAGCTCCTTCCTGACTGGTTATTCAGCTGGTTCCAGACTGGTTAATCAGCTCGTTCCAGACTGGTTATTCAGCTCCTTCCTGACTGGTTAATCAGCTCGTTCCAGACTGGTTATTCAGCTCGTTCCAGACTGGTTAATCAGCTCGTTCCAGACTGGTTATTCAGCTCGTTCCAGACTGGTTATTCAGCTCCTTCCTGACTGGTTATTCAGCTGGTTCCCGACTGGTTATTCAGCTCCTTCCTGACTGGTTATTCAGCTCGTTCCAGACTGGTTATTCAGCTGGTTCCAGACTGGTTAATCAGCTCGTTCCAGACTGGTTATTCAGCTCCTTCCTGACTGGTTATTCAGCTCGTTCCAGACTGGTTATTCAGCTGGTTCCAGACTGGTTAATCAGCTCGTTCCAGACTGGTTATTCAGCTCCTTCCTGACTGGTTATTCAGCTGGTTCCCGACTGGTTATTCAGCTCCTTCCTGACTGGTTATTCAGCTCGTTCCAGACTGGTTATTCAGCTGGTTCCAGACTGGTTAATCAGCTCGTTCCAGACTGGTTATTCAGCTCCTTCCTGACTGGTTAATCAGCTCGTTCCAGACTGGTTATTCAGCTCGTTCCAGACTGGTTAATCAGCTCGTTCCAGACTGGTTATTCAGCTCCTTCCTGACTGGTTATTCAGCTGGTTCCAGACTGGTTATTCAGCTCGTTCCAGACTGGTTATTCAGCTCCTTCCTGACTGGTTATTCAGCTGGTTCCAGACTGGTTATTCAGCTGGTTCCAGACTGGTTATTCAGCTCCTTCCTGACTGGTTATTCAGCTCCTTCCTGACTGGTTATTCAGCTGGTTCCAGACTGGTTATTCAGCTCGTTCCAGACTGGTCATTCAGCTCCTTCCTGACTGGTTATTCAGCTGGTTCCAGACTGGTTAATCAGCTCGTTCCAGACTGGTTATTCAGCTGGTTCCAGACTGGTTATTCAGCTGGTTCCAGACTGGTTATTCAGCTGGTTCCAGACTGGTTATTCAGCTCGTTCCCCACTGGTTATTCAGCTGGTTCCAGACTGGTTATTCAGCTGGTTCCAGACTGGTTATTCAGCTCGTTCCCCACTGGTTATTCAGCTGGTTCCAGACTGGTTATTCAGCTGGTTCCAGACTGGTTATTCAGCTCGTTCCCCACTGGTTATTCAGCTGGTTCCAGACTGGTTATTCAGCTGGTTCCAGACTGGTTAATCAGCTCGTTCCAGACTGGTTAATCAGCTGGTTCCAGACTGGTTATTCAGCTGGTTCCAGACTGGTTATTCAGCTGGTTCCAGACTTTATTCACTGGTGTAAAGTCGGGAGAAGTTTGAAGATGTTTTGCTTCCAGGAAGCTTTTAGGTTTGGGTATGGGGCATTGCAGGCTAACAAAGAAGCCAAACGACCCCCATTCCAAAGGGGGGGACCCGTTCATCCGTTTCTATTTGCATGTTTTCTAAACTAAAACCAGGCTTTGTTGGGCTGCTGGATAAAACCTGGAACTATTTCTGACATTTTGGATTGAAAAATCTTCCTGGATGGAAGAGAAACGTCTTCAAACCTGGAAACAAAGTCCAGAGGATTGATTTCAAATTTTTTTTAATGCTTTCTATAACCTTTTCCTGAAGTAAGGGAATACTTCCTTAAATGAAGACAGTTGATTAACTCTGAAATTTCCTCTGGATCAGAGGAGTCGGTTCTGGTTTCTATAGTTCTATCTGATCCGGTCTCTCTTACTGCAGAGCCAGTTACCACTGGTTGGGCGTTTAGTTTCTATTACTAATAAAGGAGGAAGTCTTTGATGATGTCAGATGTCCTGCTTGCTCTGGGTATTGGTGCGTATCTCAGGTCTGGTTTTTCTGTCTCACAGGATGAACTTCAGTCTGCGGCACATGGATGTTTGCTGTGAGGCCTACAATCACTTCATGCACTGTCTGTCCCAGCTGCAGGATCTGCAGGATGGACGCTGGAGGTTTATGGTGGAACTCGTCCCCTTAAACTTCCCCCAGTTTCTTCTCTATGAACGCATTGAGCAGCTGGTGAGAGAAGTTTTACTGAAACGTTTTAACTCTGTTTCTGTCCCAGACCAGGCCGGCGATGGAGATCTTTAGACACATCATCTCCTAGATGATGACTCATTTCTTTAGCCGTGTCTCTGTCCCAGATGAAGACCCTGCAGGACTTACTGCTGCCTCTAACTCTCTAACATAGAAAGTAGTCCTGGTTCTGCCTCTGACCTCCACTGGGCCGTTAAAACTGGGTCTGGTTCTACTGGAGGCAGAGATGGAGGGGGGGGGGGGACTCGAGTCAATGACTTGACACGAGTCTGCCTCGAGTCACCAGATGGTGACCTAGGACTTCTGGATTAAAATTAACAAAAGACTTGACTTTGACTTGGCCTTTCTGACCTGTGAATTGACTTGATGTGAGACTTTCCAAGTCACTGCCATCATGTTGATTCTATTATCATTATTAGTAAATAAATGATTAGATAATCATGGCTTCATTTAGCCTGAGTCATCCTGACAGGGATTAAAGGGATTTCCTGCTCGTAGCGATTGACCGCGGGTAAAAAAAAGTCACTTGAAAATAAATTGACGGTAAATAAATTTAAACAAGACAATTGAAATCCCTCTTGCATTTTTCAGCCAATGGTAGCAAAGCAGCGCTCTGAAACTAACAGCATTAGCCAATCAGAAGAAGGGGGCGGGTCTAGGAAAGCATCTGCCTCCTCCTCTCGTTTCTTGCTCATGTCACCAGATGGATTGTGGTTCAGCGCTGAAGGGAAAGTCACCTGCCGCCGTTTACGGCTCCGTTCAACAGAGAGACGAGTTAAAAGTCAAAAAATAAATAAATGAAACTTTGTGTTTGGAGAGAAAGACGATGGAGAGAACGGAATGGCATGGAGCGGGAACCATGCAGGAACCATGCAGGTCATGAACTCCGGGGAAGATGACCCCACCATAGATAAAGGTCTGATAAATAGATGGCGAGGGGCGTGGCTGGAGGAGACGGGGCCAGATGGCGAGCCGTTAGCAGGAAGTCAGGTCAACCAGGCGCTTTCTTCTGCACGCTGCGCTCCAGGAAGCCTTATGTACGCATCCAGCAGCTAAAAGGTGCTACGCTAACATCAGTTAAACCCTGGTCATCAAGCTGCTGTTAGTGCGGCCGCGCACACAAAGCGTTAGCCGGGAGCTACGGCAACAGCTGATGGACCAGCGTCAATAACCGCAAGTTCCTCGCCAAACGCCACCTCTTCTTCACACTAGATATAGATGTACTTCTGCCATCTTCTGGACGTTTTTGGTATTGGATTTTTAAAAGTCCATGCATATTTATATACACACACACACACACTTAAAGTATGGCGGGGAGCACCTGCATCAGTCTAATGAGTGAAGGTCAGAAAATGGAAGCCACGCATTTTGGCTGCAAAGATTACACGACAACAGGAAATAAAAACATGTAAGATCTGCCATGTTTTGGTTGAGCTGCTGATAAGTTAATAAACTAGTTTTATATTGTTAGCGTTCCTGCTGCTGATGTTTCCTCAGCTTAGATATAATCATCTATCTAAATCCAGAGGAAAGAAGCTAGCCTGTTCTATGCGTGTCTGTTATGAAGTCGGCTGCTTTAAAGCATCAAAGCGTTTTCCAGATGTGATCACCATGGTTACGGTGCGTCTGTAGGTAGCTAGCTGTTTCACACCTGCAGCGCAGAACAAAGATAATTTCCTCTGGGATCATTAAAGTGTTTCTGATTCCAGAAACATGTTTAATGTTGATGTTTCCAGACCAGGATCCTGTGAACGTTTGCTCTCCTCAGCATGACGCCGACACGCCGCCGTCTAACCGGCTAAACCTCTGGCTTCTAACTGATGCAAAGATCGCTGCCTCTCACAGTGAGATTGTTGTGGGAAGGTATTCATACCTCCCATGATTTATGGGGAGGAAGGAAAGAGAAAGAACTGCTCTGTGTTTTCCCTTCGTTTCCCTTCGTTAGCATCCATGAGCTGAAACACCAGAACCGTTGAACCCGCTGCTGGATCCATCCACGCCACGAGGAATCATCATCAGGAAACCTTTATCACCAACTACCATTTTACTCTTTACCTGTTATTAGGGCATTATAAGCATTATCCACATATAAACTATTAGGAAAATAAAAAATGGAATATAAAGGTATCAATAGGCAGTATTATTAAGAATAAAAAGATGAGCACAGCTGCCAGTGATGATGCTCACAGTGCTGAGATATTATAATATGCTAATATAAGCACATCAAAGGAAGTCCAGGCTGAGCGTAACGCATAGATTGGTGGATGCTGATTGGATGACGCATCCAGGGCGCTAAGCTGAGTGCGTGTTTGGCCATGGCATCATCATCATCATCATCAGATCCCATTGGTCAGGACTCGCTGCAGAGGTTTGAACCTATCAGACGTCTGAAACGGCTCCCAGTCTGTTCTGATTCCTCTCTCTCTCTATCTCTCTCGCCCCTCTCTCTCTGTCTCACTCTTGATGGATTTAGTGCTTTCCAACTGTTCCTATGTTGTTTTTTCATTTACATTATTTGATTGTTACCATGGAAACCGGACCACAAAAGGAGAAATTCAGTGTTTCTATTTGTATGATATAGTTGGAAAAAAGTATTGATCAGTTTATACTTTATTTTATCTTTGCAAAGAGAGAACAGATCATCATACAGCCCTAATGGCAGCATTCTGCCCTGTTCTGATCTGAGCAGCGTTCTTTCCTCCTTACTTACAACAATGGAAAGTAGTCAGAGTCAAAACTAATTACAGACACTTTGGTTAAACAGTAACATGTTATGAATAAACCTGAGAAAGAATCTGGTTTGTTATGGGAAGAAGCTCTGTCTGGTCTACAAACACCATCCTGCAGAGAATGGCGTGGCCTTCAAGGTGAAACAGGCTGAGTGAAAACTTTTATAGAGAGGAAATAGGATAAATTAATATATGAAATAATAGAAACTAAATTTTCCGACAAACATGGAGCTCCAGTGTCTGTTGTTAAAAAAAGCTAATTCTCACTTTTACTGCGTTTCTTTTTAACATACAGTGATGTGATTAAATCTATTTTTACAAATAAAATTCATTCATGTTGATCTATTTTACCACCTTATCAGCAGACATTAAGAAAAAGACTAAAATGGGTTTATTGAAAAAGAAAATGATTTGTTTGATCGTCCTTCCAGGTGACTCAGGACTTGCATGAATGGGACTTACTCCCGCCTCTGGCTGGAGGTTCCATCCTGTTAACATTCAGTATTCCTTTCCACTGTCACCCTATGCATGCTTGTTCTGAATGCAGTCAGACTGGGTTTCCTTCCATAGAAAACCTTCTAGCAGTCTGTTAATTAAACTGAATTTTATATCTGGGATTAACTGTCAGTTCATCAATAAAATCAATTCCTTTAATCAGAACATTTACCTATTGCTATTTCATATTTTTTATGTAATAGTTTTTTAATGCTAGTTTTTTCTTTGCGTTGCAGGAGTTGTGGAAGATCACTGCATCTTTGCTTCCATCTGAACGAAGCAGGTTGGACTCTAATGGAGGCTGCAGCCAGAATCAGCCGCCATCCCGCTTTGATCCGACCACAGAATGACCGCAAGCCTCAAATGTCCTCTGATGCCTGAACGCATCACCGGGAGCCGCCACTAGACTGTGAAAAACACGGCGCTGTTAGCCGTTAGCAGTATTATTCATTCATGGAGGTCAGAGGAAGAAGGTCTGAAAGATTAGAAAATCAGTCAGTAAATTCTCTCCATTTACTGACTGATTTATACAGAGATGAAGATTCTCAGAATGGTGGAAGCTAACCGCTAATCGGACAGAGCTAACCGCTAGTCGGAAACAGCTAACAGTCTGACAGGTTGTGTTTTAACTGGTTTTAGCTTTTTAAAACAAGGCAAACTAAAACAGTTCAGCTCTGTGAGATACAGATCTATAATTTCTAAATCTTTGCAAGAAGCCATTTTTTTTAGGTCTGTAGTCGTTAAGCTATGGACCCGTTTCTTCGCACCATGAGCTCATCGCATGGCGTGATTTAGCATCAGGAGGCGTTCCTCCTGATGAGGTGAACTTTTATTCTGCAGCTGCCACCAATGAAACGTGTTGGAACCGACCTCAGCTAGCTGCTTAGCCTGTTAGCATGGAGGAATGCAGCGTCAATTCTGTCTGAACATCCGTTAGCTTCCCCTTCGTTCTGCAGTTCAGCGTCTCGTCTGCTGATGAAACCTTCAGAGGTTCAAGGTTACTAAACTAAACCGGAATTAAAAGGTTTCCGTGGATCAGAGGTCTGCCTGATCAGCAGAGCGCCCCCTGGAGTGGATTAAGATCATATGGGATTTATCCAACAGATTCAAAATGACCTGTGAGTTTAAGTTTTTAACACTGGAAGTTAAATGTTTATTTCATGGACTCTTTGCTGCCGTTTGTGTCACAGTATTGTTATTTATTTTAAATAAAACTAATTTCTCTGCTGAAACTCTTTAGTCTGAGATGTTTCTTCTTCTGCCGTATTTAGTTTCACACTAAATGATCACTTCCTGTTTATGTTGACACCGTTGAGATTAAATCAGAGCAAAGTAAACGATTCACTGATTCATTATTTATTGATGGTTTTAAATTAACGAGGTTTTAGTTCAGAACATTCAACCTTTTCACATCTGGATCATCAACCAGCTGCTCTCTGCAGCTTCTACTGTTTCTGAACACGGCTTCATTTCAGCCAGCTGAGCAGCAGGGAGCAGCTATGAGTTACTCTGTGCTCCGTACCTCTAAGCAAACATAGAAATCTGTGTCAGATTGGTTCAGTCTGTGTTAGATCTGTTAAAGTAGATCAGAAACCTCGACTTTCTTCACATTATTTATGAATGAGACCAAATTATTCAGAGAAACAAGAATAAATAAAACAGAAAAACCCTGAAAGTTAAACTGAAGAGTCGATATCAGAGGAAATTAATAAATAGATCTAAACCTTCACAGTTTGGAAAGTCAGGAAGTAGAAGTTGGGCTGAACCAGAACCAGAACCAGCAGGTCCAACCCCAACATTCAGCTGCTGAGGAGACAGGAGGTCCGAATCAGAACCAGGCGACCCGAACGCGGCTGGACCGGTCCTCCTGGGCCGGCAGCAGAACCGCTCACTGGGGCTGGGCCACCAAGGTGGTGTGGAGCGGGGGGGCAGCGGTGGAGGCTGGAGGGGGGGGGACGTCTGTCTGAAAAAAGTACAGCTGGAAGAAGAAGAAGAAGAAACAGCGTCAGTTTCAGGTCCCCCCCCCCCCATGACCCTACATGACCCCGCCCCCTCCTCACCTTACAGCCGACAGCCAGCAGAGTGTGCAGCACCATCATGGTCGCCACCGTGGCCACCGCCGTCGCTCTGCTGTCGTCCCTGACGACGGGCCAGAAGGTGAGGGCCAGAACCGAGCCAGAGATCACCATGGCAACCACGGCCAGCGTCCACTGCAGCCACTCGTATGGTAGGATCCACAAGATCTGGGCAGCAGTAAACATCTGGAGGCTTAAAACCAGAACCTTTCATCGTGTTCCGAGCATAAAGTGGAAAACCGATCCTATATGCGTAACCATGGCAACCGGGGAGGCCTCCAGTTTCCCAACAGGAGGAGGAAGATCAGCTGAACTTCATGGAAGCATCAATAGACATTAGCTAAGCTAACAGGCTAACAGCTCATCATCCTAAACTCAACATTAAAATTAAACTAAAGACATTTAATTTGGAATAAAGAGATTTTTTTTTTGAATTATCAAAGAAATTCATTATCAAAAATAAAAAAATTTAAAACTGAAATAAAGATCTTATTTTTAGTCAATAATCTCTAGTTATTCGAGGCCAGAAATCTTTCCATTAGCATTCATTGGGATATAAGGCATGGTGGAGGCAGCATCATGCTGAGGGATGCAGATTATGGAAAGACTTCAACATGAAGCGGATATGGAGAAAAAACACCCGATTCAAAGGACGCCTTCCTTCAGCAGAGACGACTTTAACGAGCTTCTACAGAAAATAGCTGCATGCATGGAGCTGAAAATCCACCATCTTGAAGTAAACTATGATGTAAACGCCGCGTATGGAAATGAAACGACGCTGCCTGTGATTCCGAACGGGGACCACCAGCCCAGCAACTCAGCGAACAAACAGTTCCCAGAGGAAAATCCCTGGACCACTCTGGGTGCTAGACCAGAGGATCAACGATGACCCAGTCCAGACTGCACCCACCTCCCCCTCTCCCCCACAAAGCCCAGATGTTCGTTTTCTGGAATTTTCTCTTAACATGAACAAAGTTTTTCAGATTGGCCTACAGTTGACATCCTCTCCACATAGCCACTCTGAAAGCCGCAGCAATGTGAAAAAAGCAGCAGAGCCCCAGATCCTCCTCTACAGATCACGGAACGTCAGGACCTTCAGATAACTGAGCCCAGAGCCCCGGATCTCGCTTCTGAGCTGATCTGAGTAAAATGTGCAGTACTGGAATTCACCAGATGGTGGCAGCATGCACATTAAAGCAGCCTGTAGCATTATCGTGCAGAGGAAGAAGTTATCACCACCAGCTGTTGCTAAACAAACTGATGTTCCAGGGATGTGAAGCTCTGACTGACCTCCAGACCTTCTTGGTCCCGGTGTTCCATGGAATTCTGTTCCCTCTGAGTTTGGAGGCGCATTGAAGCCAGAGAGGCGGCCATGATGGATGGAACCATTTTCACTGCACTGCTGATCGATTACTCGCTAAAATCAGCTCCTATAATCATCTCACTGTTTAACATCCAGTTTAATGGGAAGAAATTAATTCACCATCAAGTCTTTCAATGTGTTTATTTCTCTTCATCAACAACAAACTCTGTGGATTTGGTGACATTTGATCATTATTTGCCAGAGTTATGAGAGGGAAATCAGCTGACATAATCCTTTGATGATCTTTAATGAAATGTATTTTCTATTTAAATGTTTATTTAACATTTTACAAATATTCCCAAAAAATGTATTCCAAGATGTTTCGCCTTCCACCCAGAAAGATTTCCTGATCCAAAATACCTGCAGCAATGCTACTGCAGACATTTGGAACTGAGGATTAAAATACATTTCATAAACATCATTAATTCAAAAGTCAGATTTATTTTAACTATTTTGGATTTCAAAATATAAAATAATAAATGTTTCATAAATAATGTATGAAAAATAATCACAGTTTCAAAATTCACAGGATTTGTTTATTTATTCCATGTTATAGTGGAACGGATTATATCAGGAGGCTAAAATATATGATTCCCTCCATAACTCTGGAAAATAATGATCTAATGTCAACAAATCCTCAGAGTTGGTTGTTGATGAAGAGAAATAAACCCAGTTATGCTGCGTTCAGAACAATCGCTGCTTCATTTCTGATGCTTAAACCAGTTTAGTTCTGATGCGCAGCTGAAGATAGGGCTGCAACAACGAATCGATAAAATCGATAAAAATCGACTTTTAAAAGCGTTGGCAACGAATTTCATCATCGATTAGTTGTGTCGCGCGATTATTGCGTCATCCGCCGCGCCGTCATCACTGCCTCTTGACTGAAAGAGGAAGAAAAAATATGGCGGAGCGAGTCAGCGCCGCAGGTGCAGTGTTGCCAACTCAGCAACTTTTCATTCCCCTCCAACGACTATTTTTCAAAAAAGCGTTCTAGCGACAAATCTGGCGACTTTTTTCGGTGTCACTGGCGGCTTTTGGAGACTCTTACGTGAAAGCATGTATCGTTCCTACTCTGCCGTGGGGCGCCTCCCCCCGCTCCCGCAGGAGTCCCTCTCAGCGCTGCAGTCAGAGCCTCAGCGTCCAGACTGCAAATGAAGCGCGCATGCACCGGGACTGACGGCGCAAATTGATCACAATAATTAAAATAGCCTGCGCTTTGTAAAGCGAAAAAAGTGATAACATGCAACTTTTTTCAAAAGAAATTAACATGGCACGGAACCACCATGTTTGTTTGGTTTTAAAGTGGGGAAACGTAACGTTAGTTTCTCAGGTAGCTCATCTGATGCTTTCCTTACCGTGTTAGTAGGTTACAGACAGTGATAAGGTTGGCTACTTATTTTACTTTTCATTTCATTTGAATTAGCTTAAGCAGCGTTTATATTTACTTTATAAATAAATTAACTTGCAAATTATGAGGGCAAGACTTTTAAAGTTTAAATCTTCTGGCAAAGATAAAGTAAAGAAGATCCTGCAATTTATGGAAGTAAAGCAGAACAAAATCCAGCAAGATCAGTAATATGTCAATTAATTATCTGCCACATTCCCATGTAAATATCTGTCTTTGGAGGATGTGTGTTTTTTAGCACCCCTAGTTCTCTCATTTTTATTCCAAATACAATTTATAATTTGAATCACAGGGCTATTTTTATCTCTATGGTTCAGTATTTTCTCAAGCAGCAACTTTAACTGCTATACTTTCCTGTCTTAAAAGGCAGAACTCTTCTAGTCTAAAAAAAACTCATTTGTTGAAATGGGGGGGGCTATTGTTTGAACCCCTTAGAGGCTTTTAAAAACAAAAATGTCTTTTTTTGCGCTTTATGAAACAAAGTAGCCTATATTTTGTGGATGTTCAGCTACATTTCTCATGTAAGTTTGCGTAGTTTTAACACAAACATTTATTTTTCATATTGCACCAGTACAGTTAATGAGCAACCTGTACTGGTGTGCTTGTTTGTTCTGTCTATAATGTTTATTTTGGAATAAAGAGGTTAATATAAAAAATATTTTTTGCCTGATTCATCGATTAATCGAAAAAATAATCGGCCGATTCATCGATTTTTAAAATAATCGTTAGTTGCAGCCCTAGTTGAAGCATCTTTGCTGTTCTAGCTGCACGGTGGTAAAGTGGGTCTGATGCGCGGTGGGCGGAGCTACTCTATCCTTTCTCTGCCTGGAACAATGGCGGCTATATTAGCTGTGATCAGCGGGTAGAAAGTAGTTAGAATCTATGTTGAAGTGAGAAAGTCCTCCTGAAAACATGGTCTGTGCAGTCAGTTCATCCAGATTACCATCCTGCCTTCAAAGATTATTTCTCTGTGGGAGCCGCTCAGACCCCCACATACCGGCGCTGCGCTGTCACTGGGAATCCCCAGCAGCAGCTGCCTCAGGCCCGCTCGCCTCTCCAGGGTTTTCCCCTCCTGTTGGTGGCGGCTGGAAGTAGATGTTAGCGTTTTTCAGGTCTGTGCTACAAACTGCAGGCAGCAGGATAATAAAAGCCAACATATTCTGCCGGCAGGTTTCTACATTTGAAGTTAATTTAGGCGTTAATAAACTGTTTCAGAGGAGTGATCATAGCGCTCTGCATCAGCAGTGCTGTGTCTGACTCCCTGCCAGCTCCCAGATCAGCTTCTCTCATTGGTTGATGCAGCGCGTCCAGCAGATAAAGTCTAGATGCTGCAGGACCTTTTGCTGCGCCTTGACGTACGTCAACCATTGAGTTTGCATGTAAACTAGCTGCTCCTGCTGCGTTTGATGTGAATCTTCCCATGTTATGGAGGGGGGATTGTTACGTGTTATAGAATGTAATAAACTAGAAATGTCTTTAATCCAGTAATCTGTCATATTTTACATTAGAACAGCAGAAAGTCTACTCTCTCATCTTCACCCTCAGGCCCCCTGATCTCCTAGAATCCTAGATCCGCCCCTGGCCTAGTCAAAGTCTGGATCCAAATCAAGGGGAGAGAATAATAGAAAACAAAAGCAGGCCACACTTTTCAGATCATCCTTGTTTCAAATTTGTTTTTAGGCAGGTGTGGTTCTGAATGCTGTGCCCCCCTCCCTCTGGGACGCATCCTCCCCCGTCCCTCGGGTACCTGCCCCCCTGGGCCCCCCCCAGCATGAAGGAACAAAGTGTATGGACATCCGTCCTCTACTGACCGATGTGGGGATGTAGATGAACAGGGAGTAGCCGTAGACACACACGGTCTCCAGGAAGGAGTAGCCTCCATGCTGCCTCTCAGAGGCCCGCCTCCAGGTCAGGAACCCCCACAGAGCCACCGGAACCAGCCAGGCGTACAGGAAGATCACCAGCGCCGCTATGGTCACTGCAGGGAGACGGAACAGAATCAGAACCAGGGTCGGCCAGTCCAGCCTGTAGCGGAGCTGCACACCCACCTCTGTGGAACTGGGGCCTGTGGGGCCCCGTGGCGCCGCCAGCCTCTCTGAGGAAGGACGACAGGTTCCCACTGATGGCTACTGAGAACACCAGAGTCACACAGATCCAGAACGGACCTGCAAACACACGGTACCAGAATCAACCTGAGCCTGGTGCCGGGGCCGATCCTTACTGGACCCTCAGAACCTTCTGGTTCCCCAAAGTTTCAGACGTTCAGAGGAGATAAATATGGAAATGAAAGCTGCACTAAAGAACTTTTAACCACTGGCTCCCCCTGCAGGCCACTGGCTGCACTGGACTGTCTCTGGTTCTGGTATCTGACCCGTTTGGACCAGCAGAATCCTGGAGTTCTTGGTAAAGATGAGGAAACATTCACCCTCTGAATGAATCCTCCATCAGCTGAAGGTCAGAGCTAACAGCCGTTAGCTCTGCTAGCTCTCAGACTGACAGGAAGCGGCGCTCTGGGTCACATGACCAATTAATGGGTCACATGACCCATTAATTGGGTCATGTGACCCATTAATGGGGTCACATGACCCCATTAATGGGTCAGAACCTAAACAGATTTGATTCATGTAATGAAGCCATCACAGACTGAGGAGCTACAGGTAGATCAGGCAGCAAAAGAAACTGATTTTAATTATTAATTCCAGTAAATCTGAAGTTAAAATGTTAATTAAACAAAAAATAAAAGATAAAAGGAACGGAAGAAAGGGAAAAAAGGAAGTTAGTTTTATAAAAATTAAGAAGAAAACTGGAGAAATGAGAAGAAGAGGAAGAACTAGAAGAGAAGAAAGATTTTGGGCAGAACGGTTTAATTTAAATCTGTTATGGAAACAGAAGAACGGTAAATTTAAAACCTAAAGTAGATTAAACTATTAAACTATTAGACGTGATGTTTTACTGTAATAAATATGAGGAGGAGAGACAGCAATTTATTCAAAAGTAAAAGTTTCATTAGATTTATTTGAATTATTTAGAAGTTTTTTTAGAAAGTAACATTTACAGGATAATATTTCTATATCTAAAAATAAAACATTTATTTAATAGAATTTAATTTCTGAGTCATTCTGGCCGACACCAGTAGATGGCGGAAATGCATCTATTTGCTGTTTGCTAACCCACCAAAGATTGTAAAGAAGAAGAAGAAGAAGAAGACGCCGAGGAGCAGCAGCTGGACTCTCCGCCTCACCGCCGTCCCTCCAGCAGGGGGCAGCGTTTCTCACTCACCGTACAGGTCTGGGTTGTTCCTCAAGTAATGTTTGACAAAGTTCCTTCCAGGCAGAGGCAGCACCGAGCCCTTCACCCTGTCCAGAACCTGGATCAGGACAGGTTGGACCACCGTCAGACCACCGCTGGGTTCAGAGGGTCCCACAGACGCACGGCGCTCCTACCTGAACCGTGTCCACGTTGAAGAAGGACTGGTAGTACTCAAAGGTCCAGAATCCTCCACCTGATCTCTGTCCTCCTAGAAGCTGGAAGCACAGAACTTTCATCAGCTGCTGCCGGACCTGGATCTCCAGGATCTCCAGGATCTCCTTGATCCTGGTCTTCGGAACCAGTCACCTCTGAACTCTCCTCCCGAGCGTCCTCGTCCTCAGACAGGTCCAGTTTGATGTCCTCCCCCGCTGCCGGTCCGGCTGCAGTGGTTGGGTCGTTGGATGCAGACGCGCTGAGCGTGGAGGCCCCGGGGTCCGCAGACAGAAGATCTGCTGCTTCCTCAAACTCTGCAAACACAGAAGGACGAGGAGCTGAACCAACGTGTCACTTCCTGTTCCTCAGGGTGAGGGGAACCACATCCCAGACAGGGGGGGGGATTTACCATTAGGCAATACTAGGCAGCTGCCTAGGGCCCCAAGTTCCTGGGGGCCCCATAAAACTCTGTTTCCATGTATGGTTAATACAACTATTCCTTATTTTTCCACATTAATTATGTTTTTGATAAAAAGGAAAAAAGAAGAAAAGGGACAAGAAGAGAGGGACACAACCTAGAACAGATAATGGATGTCTATTCTATCAACATTTCTCTATCTGGAGAATGGGGCTGTTCTTTGTGTTGTCTTCTCCATTCAGGGGGCCCCCTGCCGTCTTTGCCTAGGGCCCCACATTTCCTAAATCTGCCCCTGATCCCAGTAAACCCAGTAGGTCAGTGGGTTGGAGCTTCAGACAGAGGTAACTAGCTACAGGTAAAAAGGTCAAAGGTCATTCCTTCCTCTCTAGGTTTTCTTTCCTGTCTGAACTCCAGGCTGAACCCCTGAACGCCTCACGGTCCTCTGCTAAACACAGGGCGGCCATGATGGTTCTGATCCATTTAAAGGGAAATAAATCAGACTATTTATCAGGAAATAGATTCCATCCAGCTGAGAATCAATAATCCAAACATTCCTTTCCCGCCACTGTGGGCTCAGCTGGGAACACGCGTTAGTTTGTCCATAAAGTTAAAAACAATCCACTAGACTTTGTTTCCAAGTTTGAAGATGTTTCACTTCCCATAAGCGAAGGGGGTGGAGCTAGTTTTCCTGCTTCAGTTTGCATGGTTTCTAAACCAAAACAAGAGTTTGTTGGTCTGCTCTATAAAAACTAGAGCTAAACACTAATCCAGACATTTGAATTGAAGAAGCTTCCTGGATGGGAAGAGAAATGGCTTCAAACTTGGAAACAAAGTCCAGTGGATTGTTTTTAAACTCGTAGAGAAGCGGCCGTTCCAACGGTCGCATTTCCAAATTCTCCCAGTGGTGCCCGGCTTTACCCGAGTGAATAAAGTGAATGTGATTGGTCGTTTATCAAGGGGGCGGGATTGTTGTGGCGGAAGGTTCGCAACCATGTTTGGTTGTGGCTGGTTTGCTGGAAGCATCTTGCTAACCAGTTAGCAACTTAGTGCTAGCAGCTTCCCAATAGGAAATTCCATTGGGACCAAGTAGCACTAAATTGGTGACTTAGAAACGACGCTGTCAAGGAACGCTATGGACAGCGGAAACATGCAATAGGAGGAGAGTTTAGTGTCGGAGGTCGTGGATGAGTCTCCTCCGTCATCCATTTGTTATTTAGAGCAGGAAAGCGGGGACGAAGATGTTGTGGAAGAGGACGCCAGGGCGGCAGAAGCTTGGTTTGGTGTAGAAGGCTTCCAGCCGTACATGTTTGAGCCCTTGCCTCGCAACGCTGCCAGTTCTGTTAGCTCTACGCCTGCCGAAGACACAGACGTCCATCCCCGTGAACACTGGGACGCAACTCAATGGGAAAGGAAAGGATTCTGGTTTCAACCGTTGCGTATATTAGCTGCGACACATGAATCAAGATGCTATGACCGAAAACATTTGATTGACAGATGACCGTTGATATTTGATTGGCCGAATTTAGGTGTTCAGGCTGACGTAGAACTAACTGGCCTGCAGAAGATAACGGAAAAAACACAGATTTTAAGACAGGATTTTTTTTATGAAATAGAAATGTTCTGACAATATAATCTGATAAAGACAACATTTAAATACATGTTTAAGCCAGAATGATTAAAGTTTCTGGTTGAACCCGGTGTTGTGTTGAAATCTGTGACCCTCATATATTGTGACTGAAGCAGTCTGCTAACTTCACAGGATTCAGATCTAAATGTCATGAAATGAATTCCTAAAGCTGAAGAAGCGGCCAGGTCATCCAACCGACCAGCAGGTGGCATTGCTTTAATGAGCCTCTGATGTGATGGAGTGTTTTTAGCAGGTCTCTGAGCCAAGCTGCAGGGCTGCCATGTTTACCCTGGAAGTGCAGGTCACGTGGGCTGCTCATGGCTGCTTCCTGCAGGATCCGCTTCTCTGGAACGTTCCTCACATTTCAAATGGATGAATGAGCAAAACAAGAAGAATCATATTAATGAATCAAACGGTGTTTCCGGTCAGAAGGAATCAAAGTGAGATCAGAGACTCACCGCCCGCCGCAGCTTTAAGCCTTTATGTGGCTTTAATGAGCTGATGATGCGCTGCTCTGTCAGAGGCTCACGCAGCTGCAACCTGGCGGGACACGTCACTACCAACGCAAAGACGTCACGTGACCATGCTCATCAAACCTCTGCCTCATCAGAAATAAATGGCTCATCAAAGCAATTTATTTTTAAAGCAGTGCAGGTATTTTAAATAACTGATCAAATGTATTAAACTTTATTTCTATAGGAAATTATTCTTTATTACAATAGATCTGCTTCCTGTCAGTGACGTTACGCTACATGATTGGCTGAACACATTGTGGTTGCCCTGACAACGATAATAAGATAATCCGGCTTCCAGGGGCGGATTTAGGAAATGTGGGGCCCTAGGCAAAGACAGGCAGGGGGCCCTCTGAACACAGCCCCATTCTCCAGATAGAGAAATGTGAATAGAATAGACATCCATTATCTGTTCTAGGTTGTGTCCCTCTCTTCTTGTCCCTTTTCTTCTTGTTTTCCTCTCTATGTTTTGTACTCAGCTGACTTTTCATGCTGTCTCTAAAGGAATGAAAGATTTTTTCCAAGCACTAAGCTCACTTAGCTGATTGCTCCTTCCTGTGTTTCCAAAAAGGCCAAAGTAAATAACCCAGTCCTTCTTTTCACTGTAGACAAGCCATGATCTACTTATCTGTTCTCCATTTTTCATTTGGATGAAATAATAGCTGCATGAATCATGACAGCAGACAAGATAGAGGAGAGCAGGAGGCGGGGTTACCAATCTACTCGCTCTGGAGAGCAGAGTTCGCTGCTTTTAGATGTTGTCTCCAAAGTCTCCAGTAGCAGAAAAAAGTCTCTAGATTTGGCGCTAGGAGCTTTTTAGAAATCAAAGTGCTAGAGGGGTCTGAAAAGTGGCTAAACATCTGAAGAGATAAGAAAAGTGAAATTAGAGCTCAGAATAAGTTCTGCTGAGGCTGCAAGAAGAATCTCATCCCAGCCAGAAAGACCCAAATCATCAGTGGAGCAAATGAAAAGTTCAAACCTCTGGAGGAGAGACCCAGACCTGCAGAAGACTCACTAATTGTTAAAAAAAAAAGGATTTTGTTCTTGTCATGGTAGAAGTGATCAATTGTGGTACTCAGAGGACTAAAACCCGAAATAATCAAAATAATAGTGAAAGCTGCAGAAAAGTATCTTGAAGAGAGAGTTTTAAATTTGGAAACGGGAAAACTAGCAGGACCATCAGAAACGGCAGAGTGATGATAACTTCATGATAAATTAGAAATTATGAGGACAAATGCGATAAAGTTTTTAGTAAGTTGGGCTAAATTAAACAGTTTGGAAAAATATTATTTTATTTTGCTCTTGGGATAAGTCTTGTTTCCTGTTTCCTTGTTTAACTCCTTATCAGATGGTGGCGCTAATGCACTTTAAAGGAATAGTACACCCAAAACATGATTAGCCTTCATTTTCTACTCACCCCCATGCTGAACAACACTCTGGAGTACTTTTTTGATATCTCAAATGCATCTGGAGATCTGGGAGGCTTCTTGCTGTCTGCTGACATTCAAATAATGGAGGTCTATGGCGCCCGAGGCAGAAAGGTCCATAAAAGTCCACAAAAACGTGTCAATATTCCTCCATACTGCTCGTCCAATGTATTCCAAGTGTCCTGAGTGGGTAGCGTCCAGAATTTACTCGAAACGAAGTCATTTAGAATGTTTTTAGAGCATAAACAGTAGTGTATAGGATTTCCTAAAAGCGCGTTCACGACGCTACGGAAACCGCGGCAGACCAAACCAGACGAAAGTGCGCATTCAGCGTCTGCTCTGCCGATAATCCAAGCGTAGAAGAAGAAATGTGCTGTTTGAATGTCAGCAGACAGCAAGAAGCCTCCCAGATCTCCAGATGCATTTGAGATATCAAAAAAGTACTCCAGAGTGTTGTTCAGCATGGGGGTGAGTAGAAAATGAAGGCTAATCATGTTTTGGGTGTACTATTCCTTTAACTAGTTTGCTAACCGCCATAGAATCTCAGAAGAAGGAGATGTTCAGACTTCTTATTGGAGTCCTTTAAATGGCTATAATGGAATCATCCATGTCATGTAATTTTAAAACCTAGTTGGGAAAAGGAAAAAAAGAGTTTAAATTATTTATAAATTATAAAAGACTTTGATTTAGCTTATACAAATATCAGTCAAACAATTCCTGTTTCACCCATTCAGCCGTCTATATTTCCTAATGTCGTTGTTGATTTTACTTTGAGAAAATCGTCTTTTACAGCTGCTCTTTATGTCTATGCTTCTTTTTCTATGTCTGCTTCTGTCTCCTTGAACCCCAGTGGGCCTCAGCAGATGGCCGCTCACACTGAGCCTGGTTCTGCTGGAGGTTTCTTCCTGTTCAAAGGGAGTTTTTCCTCTCCACTGTCGCTACAAGCATGCTTAGTGTGAGGGATTGCTGAAGAGTCAATGAGTCGATGCAATCAGCTGGTTTTCCTTAGATAGAAAACTTTGAATCAATCTGACTGGATGATCTGGTTGATCTGGATCTATAAAGTGACCTGAGATGACATGATGTGAATTGGAGCTATAGAAATAAACTGAATAGAATTTAAATTGAATTGAATTTATCCAGATTAGGTTTTGATCAAACAAGGTTAAATATTAGGTTAAAGGTTAAATCCAACAGTTTTTGTTTTCAAGCAGAGACAGTAAAACATGGTTTGTTCTGTTTTAAATATTCTGTTGAAAGAAGGGAATAAGTTTGTTAATTACAAGAAAATCAATTGCAGGTAAATAGATAGAAAGATATTTTGGTCAAACTTTCTACTTCTAAATGTTATTTAATAAATTACCTTAAGAAAAAAATTGATAGAAAGGATACAAGATTTATTAACTTATTTATTATAATTTTTGGGTTTGTGGGAGAATTTCTATAAAGCATCCTGATCCACTCCATTCCAGTAGATGGCGCTAATGCGCATCAATAGGTCGCTTGGTCTTTAGGAAAGCAGAATATAGATCAGATTCCACCTGGGAAAGATAAAACAATAATGAAAAAGAAAGAAACAAAATTATGGCAAAAATATGGGATGAAGATGAGAAAGAAGATTTTATAGGGTTAAAAATATTTAATTGTTAAAAATAATGGAGAAGGAAACAGAAGGGAAGAGATAATTTATACTAGATTAAGAACTGATCACATCTACTGGAATGAGTCTTTGTTTATATGAGGGAAGAGAAATAGTGATTAATGTGAGGAAATGGAAGGAAAGAAAATCAGGATCATGTTTTAAAGGATTGCTTTAAATATGGACTGAAAGACAGGATGAGGAAAGTAATTATGGAAAAAGGGAGAGAAAGGAAAATGAAAGGAATTTTAGGGACAGATGGTTATTAATAAAGCATTGTTTTTATCTTTATATAACACAAAAATAAAAATAAAATAGTAGGTGGAACTATAGAGCTACACACTCATGTACAGCAGGTGGCGCTATGCACCTAGAAGCTGTTTGCAATCCGCCAATCTAACAAAGAAGATCCGCCACCTACAGCGGAACCTTTGTCACGGCTTCATTGCTGGCGGAAGACTAACGCTGCTGCACCTGCTGTGCAGCCTGTTCCGGTGCGGCTGACGGTGACCGTGGAGCAGGATGGGTTCGGTTCGGACGCTCAGCAGGAGGTTCTGGGCTCCGGGAGGCCGCTGGGAGAGACTGAAGAACAGCAGAGCGGGTCAGAACCGGAACCATGATGGATTAGTCATGATTCTGCCGAACCGAACACAACTTTAGACCAGGATTAGAGAGAGATTAAACCTTAGACCAGGGTTAGAGAGAGATTAAACCTTAGACCAGGGTTAGAGAGAGATTTTAAACTAGATCCGGAACCAATGATGAAGGGCCGATGTTTCACATTAATCTGTCACCTTAAAACAGCGCGGGCTGTTTTTTTTTTTTTTTTTTTTTAAGAAATCTTTATTGCACTCAGTGAATTTACAGACAATCACTCATTGTCTTGAATACATGGAATGAAAAACCTAAAATATGTAGAGAAGTAAACTTTGATTGGTCTGAGTAAGAATCAGGAACAAAAAGACAGATAAAAGAAATAAGCTGGGGGGGGGGTTAAATCTAAGACAGTAAATTAAACATTTCAAATACAGAAAATGTTTTAATTGCTTTTTGTTTTCCAGAATGTTGGATTGAGTGGATGTATTGTTTGAATTCACAAAATAATGTTCTACATCTAAATCAGCATTTATAGATATAAAATTAGGCAGATTATTTATTAGGTTGACAGAGTTTCTCTGTGGATCCTTTGCTACAGTCCAAACAACACAGAAGAAAACTATTATCAGTTTTATCCTGGATGAACAAACTGGCAGTTCTAAAATAAATAGTGAAGCTTTATAGTTTATCAATGTTCAGCTTGAATCTATTTGGTAAATAAACTTTAGCTGGGTTCATTCTATAGAGTTTAAAGGAGATTTCTTTAATCTTATTCGTTATCAGAAATTTATTAGTAATCAACCTTTTTCCACATCATCCACTAATGAGTTCCAATGAGAAACAAAGACATTATATTCATTTAAAATAAAGTTCTTACTGACTTATTATTTCTGGAATAGCTAGATAAACTGATCTTTCCTGCAGGCGTATTAATGGGAGACAGATAGATGAGTTATGAGCATCAATCCTCTGTTGATGGTTAAAAAGCAACTGAGGGAATTGCTGAACTCCATGGCTGTTACAGCAATATCCCACTCTGCCAGAAATTCACCATAGGATAGAAGAAGGACCTCATTGTTAAAAAGATGATCTACAACTATGATATTTTTCTGAAACCAGTTTTCCATAAAGACTGATTTCTGTTCATATTAAATTTGTTATTCTAGATATAATATTTATGTGGTGAAAAATTGTGCTTATAGATGATCGATGGTGATAAAAAAGGCTCGGCCATAAAATGCAGAGTTTCAGAGCGATTTTACAAACATCATAATTACACATTAGGGAAAAATAAACGCCACTGATCTGATAATATGTGGAGAGGTTGGTGTTCCATATGGAGCCAATTGATTTTAAATCTATTATTTAAAGTATGAAAATCAATA